TTGGGTAGAGAGCGGAGATTCGCCAGATGGATGCTCGGCAACGGCGTTCTGAATCCGCACTTCCTGAGCTTCACGAGTGCCTTCACGGTGCCTTCACACCGGCTCCCCCGTCTGCACGTCCTGAAGCGCTTGATCAGCGCAGCAGCTCCGCCAAGTACAACGTTCAGCAAAACGTCCAAATAAACGAAATCCGGTAGAAGATTGTGTGGTGTGTTCTGCCGAATGTTCAGCAGCTCATCCCTGGTAAAACTGATCATGTTTGAGAAACAAAAAACAGGAAAAACTAACAAAAACAGTACAAACACTGGAGAGCCAAACACTGCGGCTGCCGTCTGCGGCGCCATCGTAATGTGTCCTTAATGTGATTCCATTAGGGTTGCTTCACCTCAGGCCTCTTTCAGAGGTGGAGCAACAGCTTAGGGCAAGGGTGCACCAAACTTGGTCCTGGAGGGCGGGTGTCCTGCAGAGTTTAGCTCCAGCTTGCCTCAACACACCTGCCTGGAAGTTTCTAGTATGCCTAGTAAGACCTTGATTAGCTGCTTCAGGTGTGTTTGATTAGGGTTGGAGCTAAACTCTGCAGGACACCGGCCCTCCAGGACCGAGTATGGGCACCCCTGGCTTAGGGCTGGACTCAACGAGACATCGCCATTGCATGATTGTGGTTTCTTCTGCTTGTGTCAGAGCACTGAAACCCTGGAAACGAGTAACATTTCTGAGGGCTGGAGTGCCACTAGGAGTGGTGCCTTCTCATTGGGAAGTGATCACAACTGATGCTTCATTAACAGGATGAGGGGCAACATGGAACCAGTGCCCGCTGGTCAACAAAGGAGGCCTTATAACATATCAATGATCTGGAACTGAAGGTGGTGTATCTAGCGCTATAACACTTCTTACCAAATCTGTTAGGCCGCAGTGTACTTGTCTGATCCGATCCAACAACACGTCAACAGTCTTTCATTTGAATCACCAGGTCGGCACCAGGTCTCTTGCGTCTTTACAACTAACTCGCAAAATACTCAGATGGTCTCAAGGCTGACTGGCTTCATTAAAGGCAGTTTATCTTCCAGGATCGGACAATCCAGAGGCATCCAGCCCATTGGGACAGGATGCGTTAGCTCATGAGTGGCCGAACTGCCTATTGTATGCGTTCCCTCCTTTTCCACTTCTATGGGAGACCCTACACCGAATATTTCTGTCTAAACACAGGGTGCTTTTAGTGGCACCTCGTTGGCCAGCCAGGCCGTGGTTTCCTCTTCTTCTCAGTCTGTTACAGGGCGAGCCGTGGCAGATTCCCATCAGACAGGACCTCCTTTCTCAGCTGAATGGCCGTGTTTGGCACCCGGATCCAGCTCGTCTTCAGCTTTAGGTTTGGCCAGTGGGTCCACTTCTTAGTTAACTGATTGTGAGCCAGCAGTTCTGAACACTATTGGTAACGCTAGGGCTCCTTCAACACGACAGCTTTATGCTGCTCACTGGAGGATTTTTTCATCTTGGTGTGGGGAACAAGGACTTGACCCAGTTCATTGTACTGTGCCAAAAGTATTGAGTTTTTTGCAACATCTCTTAGATGACAATAAGGCGGTTTCTACCATAAAAGTTTATGTTGCTGCCATCTCTACTTATCATGCCCCGGTCGATGGTGCATCCTTGGGGTCTCACAACCTTGTAAGTAGCTTTCTGAACGGAGCAAGGCGTTTAAAGCCTGTTCGTTCTGCTCCTTTTCCTGTTTGGGACTTGCCACTTGTTTTAGAGAGTTTCTTTGTACACCACAGTTTGAGCCATTGGATGTGGTGGATATTAAGTGGCTGTCCTTGAAAGTGTCTTTTCTGTTAACCATTGCTTCCGCTAAACGCGTTAGTGAGCTTCATGCTCTGTCAGTGAGTGAATCGGGTTTATGCTGGTTGCCAGAGGGTTCTGGGGTCATTCGTCGGTCTAATCCAGCCTTCCTTCCTAAGGTCTTGTCACCTCAATTTGTAAACCAGTCTATTTATCTGGCTGCTTTTCAATCTCCCCTTTCTCCCTCTGATGCAGTTGGGGGGAAGTCTCATCTGCTGTGTCCTGTACGAGCTTTAAGGTGCTATGTAAAGTCTACTGCTTCTTTCAGACAGACAGATCAGTTATTTGTCTGGTATGGTGAGGTACGCAAGGGTGCTCCTTTGTCTAAGCAAAGAATAGCACGCTGGATTGTCGAGGTGATAAAGCTAGCGTATAGTCATTCTAACCAACCTTTACCAGTGGGTGTCACTTGTCACTCTACTAGGGCTGTCTCTTCATCTTGGGCCGCTTTACGAGGAGTTTCCTTGGCGGAGGTCTGTGCAGCTGCTACCAGGTCCGCTCCATGTACCTTTGCACGATTCTACAAGGTCAATGTGGCTGCTTCTCATGATGTGAGTTATGCAGTCCTTCTGGAGCATCCTTGATGCAGGTGGGTGGCATTCCTCATGACTGTGTTGGTACGTGTCATCCACTAGTGCTTAGCACCGCCTCTGGTGGTCAGGAGGAATGAAACAGAACGCTAGTTACATATGTAACTGTGGTTCTGTGAATTCCGGATGACCGCCAGAGTTCCTCGTCATTCGGAATGCGCGAGAAAACATTCCGAGGCTGGGCATCGAGCTGCTGTGGTTTATATCTTCGCATCTCGGTCTATGTCATGACGTGACTCTGTTGGTATTTTTTTCTTGATCTATCTAGTTGGCGCAGCGATTATCCACTAGTGCCTCTGGCGGTCATCCTGAATTCACAGAACCACAGTTACATATGTAACTAGCGATTTCAGTCTAGCACGAGCTCGCTGAATCTCGCTGTCTAAACCACAAAATGAATTTCTTGATTACATCGTATTTGTACTGTTGTTTATGATGACAGTATTCCAGAGTGCAGAATGCATTCAGTGAGCGCATTAACTGAACATAACTTTAGCTTTTTGCAGATTTTTCCTGTGGTGACTAATCTAAACGGCTCTGAATGGCCATTACATGCACATGCTCAATACAACACGTGTGTGATTTGTTGTAATGCTGGGGAAAAACGCGCACAAAGAAATCTTTGATGCATTGTGAGCAGATCTAAACATATGCCACAATAAACACTTTTCATTCATTTGCACATTTCACTTTAATCGTGAAAGTCTTAAAAGGTTTATTTTAATGGAACAGGGGCTTTTTGTTTACCTTTTATATGGCTCGAAAGCGCAGTCTTCCATGAAAAGAAAAAAAACAGACTTTACAGGAGGCTACTCAAGTATTTAGTCCTTGTTTTAACTATAATTTGTATTTGTCGTTTTCAAGCCAATGCTGGCTGAAGCGGCAACCTAATAGCACATTTTTTATCTTCTGCTCTGTTCCATCACAGGGCGCATTAAAGACCGGCAGATTACACTATAGCCACACGCGCAGAGTCGAGCGAAGCTACGCTTATTTTATGTAAAAATGAACTATTCATCAAGAAAGCGTATTATAATGGATCCAATGCAACTGCATTTTCAAGCACTTCAACCAAAATCCAAGCAATTTTCATGGGTATGGGTAGGTTTTCGCGGGAAATTTGAGCATGGCACTGCGTCATTACGTCACGTCTGTAAACATAAAGTTGTCCCGGTTACTAGGCTATCGCATGTGAGGATCCTGCAGGTGGCGGATCGTTTATAGCCTTTTCTCACAGTAGCTAGAATAATTAAATGTATAATTTTTGATGGCAGATTGTAATCCATAAAGGATTATGTGTTTATGGAACACATGTGAATGAAATTAAATTATATTCCAGTTATAAATGTGCTTCTGATTACAGATAGCCTGGGATACAAAGATTTGTATTTTAAAGAAAACCAGTTTGAAGGAGCACAATTTGCTTTTTGGGTTAAAAGAATTTCTTAATATGAAATTCGAAGAGTATGACAATTAGATTAGACTGTGCAGAAATTGAAATCTACATGCTAATACACACTATACTCATAGTCACCAATGCTGATGTTGTTAACATTAATCATTTGAGAATAAAGTATAACAACGATAATAATTTGAACGGTTTGATGTGATATGTGCTAACCGATCTTTATATTTAATCACCATTGGTAGCGAGATTTATGGTAATGCTTTTTTCCTTAGTTGGTCAGAACAAACGTGGTAGACTTATTTGTTCAGATGGCAATATACGGTGAAAATTCTTATTTGAGTCATATTCCAAGACGTAGGCTAGAATCTGTGATTGCGAAGTACAGTAAATATCCACACCGGTGCGGTGACTGACAGCCACACCTGCTCTTCAGAACATTAGATTCATCCGCGCTGGAGCCGTGCCGACTCACAACCCACGCAAGCTAGATAATTCCGCACACAGCTGCAATTCCAGGTTTTTAAACAGAGATGGCGATAAAGAGAAGAAAAAAAAACTTACGGACTGTAGCTTTAATATTCATGACTTTTCCAAGTCTACAGATCAAATTTTTGGGAACGTGGCTGTGGGAATTCTGGTTCTTGAAAATAAACATTGTCGAGGGAACAAATTAAAATAAGAAATATGAGTTCAGCATAAATCTGATATTTTTTTCCCCTAATTTAAAAAAAATGTTTGGTTATTTGAAAGCATATTTTATGTCACTGTGAACCATCTTGCGGCCCACTGGAACTATGTTGAGGCCCCCTGGTGAAGATCCGATTCCTTATATTATCCTCTAATAAAAAACAGAGTAAAATAATTTTTTTTATTATCCACTGCACCTCATGGAAATTCTGCTCTGTAATGCCGCTGTCCTCCAGGTGTAAGATGCTGTTGAGAGTCTGTACATAAAGCAGGTCCACCTCCTCCAGATCTTCAAGGGTGAGAGGAATACAGCACAGCTGCTTCCACACCATTGGAGCGAGATGCAGGTCTAGAGGCTTCTTAGTGCGGATGGCCACTCCCATCAGAATACCCAAGAATTTGAACTGCAGCAGGTGCTCTTCCAGACAGGCTGAGGGGTTCAGCAAGAACCTGAAGACACACAAAGATCAAGAAAGCCTGATCAGTTTATTAGTTTAGTGAAATACAATATTCAGACAATTGTCTGTCGGTGCTCACCTTTTTTTTTGGTTATTTGAAAGCATATTTTATGTCACTGTGAACCATCTTGCGGCCCACTGGAACTATGTTGAGGCCCCCTGGTGAAGATCCGATTCCTTATATTATCCTCTAAGAAAAAACAGTAAAATATTTTTTTTTATTATCCACTGCACCTCATGGAAATTCTGCTCTGTAATGCCGCTGTCCTCCAGGTGTAAGATGCTGTTGAGAGTCTGTACATAAAGCAGGTCCACCTCCTCCAGATCTTCAAGGGTGAGAGGAATACAGCACAGCTGCTTCCACACCATTGGAGCGAGATGCAGGTCTAGAGGCTTCTTAGTGCGGATGGCCACTCCCATCAGAATACCCAAGAATTTGAACTGCAGCAGGTGCTCTTCCAGACAGGCTGAGGGGTTCAGCAAGAACCTGAAGACACACAAAGATCAAGAAAGCCTGATCAGTTTATTAGTTTAGTGAAATACAATATTCAGACAATTGTCTGTCGGTGCTCACCTGTCTCGGTTGTAGCCCACCTCTGCTGCGGCGTTGGGAGAAGGGATGAGAAGATCCACCACTCCTGTCTCCAGCTCCTACACAGAGCGACATGAACCACTTTAACGCTCTTGCCATTTATTATAAGGCTTGCCATTCAATGAGACCTAAGCCATAATGGGGTTATACACACATCTCCATCAGCATTACCCTACCTGGCACATCTCTGTGATTGTGTCATCAAACACCCCTCCAGCATCATCTGCCCCCTCTCCCACCAGTTTGACTTTCCAGGCTCGTGACGGCAGCCTCAGATCAGATGCATTTAATTTCACAACCTGCCTGGCGATCTGCACAAATATGGGCTTACACTTCCTTCCTCTGAGAAAACAGGACAAAAAAGGGGGGAAAATGATTTAAGAAGTTCTTATGTTCTAACTTGAATGAAAAGGAGGCAAAGAATGTCTCGTGTTCTGGCTGCAACTCTAAACATGACTGACCGTGTAGAGATTCTCTTGACTGTGATCTGTGGGCCGTAGTTCTTCCCTTGCACCATGGTTTTCCCGATAGCGCGCACCATGGGCAGTGTGTAAACTCTAGGGGCCAGCAAGGGCCTCAGCTGACCTTGGACTATACCCCATGTACCTGCGTTATAGCGTGACGTGCAGCTCTGAAACACAAATGATTCCTGATTGAATCAGACAGTGTTTTTTTCCCCTAACAAACTCAGAGTAGAGAGACAAAATGATGCAAACATGACATGTTGGTATACCTGGTTGTTGGGGCTGAGGTTCAGCAGTCTCCAGGAGGAGTACATGAGGTCAGAGAAGTGGTAGAGCAGGCGCAGTCGGGCTCTCAAAGCCTCCATACTGACCTCTCTTAGGGCACTGTACTGAGGAGGCACACTCACGGGCAAGCCCAGCTGCAGAGGCACTGATGAACCTGAACACACAAACACTCCATCTCAACAACTCATCACAGCTACGTGCTTTTTTTTAAGTCTAATTATGATTTTCAGAAATTATAGAAAATTCAGAAAATCCCCATTTAGAGATTTTTAAGTGAATATACAAATAACAGGTCTGTCAAATTCATGTAAAAGTAACAAAACGTCTCACAGGAAGAGATTTTGACAAATTTGTAATGAGGGCATCAAAAAACTACACACCAAAATGTAAAGGTTTTTATTTATGTAAAATCAGGGTATCTGCAGGATTTTTTAAATCAAATTTAAGATTTTTTAAGACCTACACATAAAATTAATACCATATGAGTGGGGTAGGGCAATGTCTTTGGCAACATATTAAACTGTAAAATGACTGTAAAAAGGCAGTTCAGATACAGGTTTTCACAAAAACAAAGTTTTATAAAATGATAAACGTCACATTTCAGCCTCTAAACCATTTATAAGAAAAGGGATTGAAAAGTAACAATTATTGCATTAATTTAAACAATTATTACCAATCAATTATTATATTAATTTAATAACAAATATATCTTAATTGTTTAGATTTTTATACTGAATTAGCATTAGCTTCTTGTCAATCCACAGGTTCACATTTACAACACTGTGTCTGCGTGTTTGCGGCGTAAAAATATGGGTGGATTTACTCTGAACAAAAACAGCAGACGGGCTGATTGAAAATGCAGATTCATTCTCTGCCAGCAGGTGGCGCTTTTGAAACGGCAGAAATATTGCCGTTTCCCCAGTAATGGCAGTACATAAAGCAGAAGCAGCACCATACTTTGAAACATGCAGCGCTCATCTTTATTCAATGAAATTACAGCATTTTTAAGCCTTGATTTTGCATAAATGAAAACCTTTAATGTCTTTGGCAATATATTAAACTGTAAAATGACTGTAAAAAGGCAGTTCAGATACAGGTTTTCACAAAAACAAAGAGTTTTATAAAATGATAAACGTCACATTTCAGCCTCTAAACCATTTATAAGAAAAGGGATTGAAAAGTAACAATTATTGCATTAATTTAAACAATTATTACCAATCAATTATTATATTAATTTAATAACAAATATATCTTAATTGTTTAGATTTTTATACTGAATTAGCATTAGCTTCTTGTCAATCCACAGGTTCACATTTACAACACTGTGTCTGCGTGTTTGCGGCGTAAAAATATGGGTGGATTTACTCTGAACAAAAACAGCAGACGGGCTGATTGAAAATGCAGATTCATTCTCTGCCAGCAGGTGGCGCTTTTGAAACGGCAGAAATATTGCCGTTTCCCCAGTAATGGCAGTACATAAAGCAGAAGCAGCACCATACTTTGAAACATGCAGCGCTCATCTTTATTCAATGAAATTACAGCATTTTTAAGCCTTGATTTTGCATAAATGAAAACCTTTAAATTTTAGTGTGTAGTTTATTTTGATGTCCTTATTACAGATTTGTAGAAATATCTTATATAACAGAACTAAGAATAATACTGGATAATAATTATATTATTTCAATAATATTAAATTACTATAGTAATAGAACAGCCAACTTGAAATCAATAACAAAATCTATATCTAATATACAATAATACTGAATAATAATTATGAATAAAAAAAAAAATAATAATAATAAATGTGCAAAACTAAGCCAGTGTGTATGTGTCTGTACCTGGAGCACGTGGCGGCACAGGCAGTGCAGACCATGCTGCGCTGTGGCAGCGACCTGCAGATATCTGTTGGATGTTTTTGCCTTGTAAAGCACTGATGAAGGTTGGCTCTCTGACATGGTTTGTGTGGCCCAAGCCCAGCTAATAAAAAATACAACAACACAAACTGATAAATGTCCATGCTATTATTTAGATAATACATAAAACCAATGGAAAATAGAAACATAGTTAGCTTATTAACCCCCCTAACAATCACACACCTGTCCCTCTGAGTTGCTCCCCCAGGCATAAACATCTCCAGTTGATGAGAGAGCAAGCGTGTGTTCGGCCCCTACAGCCACATCCTCGATAAACACGGCCATTAAAGCAGGAACCTGCTGAGGCCGGTTATGATTTCGTGCTCGACCCTCCGGCAGACCGATTAAGCGATCTGTCATATTAAAGCAAAAACAATTAAACAAAACCACTGGACTTGCTTTAACATTCAGCAAACAGTTTATAGAAGTATCTCCCTGAGATGAGTATGTCTGCAGATGGCTTACCCTGCCCAAACGTGTACATGTTTCCATCTTTGGTTAGAGCAACAGAGAACTGGGTACCACATGCCACCTTCTTTATTCCAATTCCACACAAAACATCCACTTTCTATAAAATAACAAACCCACAGACTTAATTTAGTGAAGACAGAGTTTTGATTATGACATGTAATGTTACCTGCATGCTTGTGATGGTGTTGTTATATTAACGTATCAGTAGTTGTACCTGTGGGGAGGATTTGGCTGTAGAGTTTCCCAGTCCCAGTTTGCCATAGTCTCCATCTCCAAACGCCCAGACGGTCATTCCATCAGCTGATACTGCCAAAGTGTGATTCAGCCCACATGCAACCTACACACAACCATATCACAATAAACATCAGATAAAATTGTGTGTATGTGCAGAGGCTGTTCAAAAGTCCACACTGAGAATCTGAGATTTTAATTGGATTTAAAGTCCAATTTAAACATGGAAATATACATTTATATGAGCAAAAGGGGATAAAAGAAATGCCTTAATGTAAAGATATTCATTCATTCATTTTTAATACATGTAATATAATAATGTCAAATATATAATATAAAATATAAGGTTACACTTTAAGGTGTCCTTGTTACAGTGCAATTATACATAGGTATAAAGTAACATTAATTAACTAAGTACATGTAAGCAAGTATATGTAACGTGTAACAAGGACACCGTAAAATAAAGTGTTACCAAATATAATAATATACAAAATATATATAATTTCCAGTGGGGAAAAATAATAAGAGGACTTCGATTTAGAGTTTCTTACCTGGCCAACCTGGTGGCCCTCTAGTGCACTGACTCTCTCAGGTAATTTTTTGTTAGAGGTGTTTCCAAGTCCCAGTCTGCCATAATCTCCATTACCAAAGGAGAAGAGCTTTCCGTCTGCAGTCACCACTGCTGAGTGTTTAAATCCACATGACATCTGGACACAAACATATATTCTGATGAACTTAAACATCATCATACACACCTTAGAAGAAGAGGAGAACTGGAGAGGCATCTGGGTGCGTTTAGGAGTGAGGGTGAATTTGACAAGTGTTTCTGACCTGCACCATTTCTTCTCCCTGCAGCGCCTCTATCTGCCGCGGCCTGCGCTGTCTGTCACTGTTACCGTGGCCCAGTTTTCCATAATCTCCATCTCCCCAGCTGAACACCTCACCGCTCTCAGTTAGAGCCATCGAATGGCCATCAGACCCACAGGACGTTACTAGCTGGGTCACCACAAAGCCTTCACAAACACACATCACTCTTGCTGTTAACACATTCAGGGAACAACTACATTGAAAGTCATTCAGAGTTTGTGTGTGATTGCAGCATGCCTTGCAGAGCAGATATAACAGTGAGGATGTGCAGATCATCTGAATTTCCTTGTCCGAGGCGGCCGTAACTGCCCTCTCCACATGCAGACACTGTTCCGTTAGCCTGGATCACAAATGTGCAGTTCTGCCCACAAACAACCTGACAATAAAAAAATTAATTAATACAACTTTTATTTCTACGACAGCTTGTTATTTAAAAAAAAAAATCAAACCTAAAGCAACTGAAGGTGAACTATCCCTTTAAGGAAATTTATGTGTGTGTTTGTGAACACTCATACCTGTTGGGCCTGAGAAAAAGAGGGAGCAAGAGATGGCACCAGAATGTTTCGCCCGGCCTCGGCGAGCTGCCCATGCCTGCCAGTGCCCCATAAAAACACATCACACTTCCCTCCAAGGTGCCAGTCCTTAAAAACGCAAAATGAAAAACCTTTGAATATCCCTTTTGACACAATTATATATTATATAATATTTTCCAATAAATATATTTGTGTGTGTTTTCTAGTGCTTGTATTTGCTCTCACCTCTGGTCTGGAAGTGGCCCATGACATGATCTGCTCATCCATCCCAGACACCCACTTGCTGTTGTCCTGTGTGTGATTTTTAAAAAGGCCATCACCATTAAGAGCAACACAGTATTTCACCATCAAATCAGCAGGACATTTGAATGTTCTTTCTCTTACCATAAGCAGTGCCAGTTTATCTTTGGCCACAGGCTCCAGGTCCGGGACGATGAAGGACTCGGGGAAGGTGTGTCCACGTGCGAGGGCTTCAGCTGTTTTGACGGTGGTGGAGAAGCAGTGAAGCCACGCCCACTCACTGTTGGCCCAGGAGCCAGATGAGGGGGTGGAGGAAGAGCCAGGCTCGGGTGGGCAGTGGGCCAGGTGAGGTGGGACAGGAGGGTGACACAGCAGAGCGTCCAGCTGCAGACCCACTGCCAGAGACGCCAAACACTGCATGTAAGGACTGTGGACGAGCTGCTCTCCACACACCACATGAGGCTGAAACACACAAACAAATAGGTATAATCAACAGGATGTCCCTTTTTCTTGCATTTTTACATGCATAGTATTTGCTAAAATTATATCATAATTTAGTAGTTATATGTACCTTCTCATACGCATACTGCTCCTGAAGCATGATGGGAAGTCTCTCCAAGAAGGCTCTCATGCATGGAGCCATGTTCAGTCCCACAACGCCCTGCTTTTTTAGCGCCGTGCGGCAAGTTGCTGACACGTGATTGTTTGCCATGGACTCTGCTGAGCTATTAACAACCAGCACATCCTGCAGAACAAATAATTTTCTTTATTAAGTAACATCTTTTCTGCATATTGTCAACAGCAATGGGCACCAATCGAAATATATATACTTAAAGAAAATAACTTTAATGTATGTTAATACATCCAGCAAAAAAACAGTGTATACTGCTCCTTAAATTTTGTTTTTAATTTAATTTTAAGAAGGAATTTTTTTCTTCTACCATCTTTCCTTTAATGTTTGGATCTGATGCTAATGTCAGTACTTCATGTAAGGCACAGTCATGTTTTTTTTTTTTATTAAATTTGACTAATCTATATTATTTATATTTAAAGTCCCCATGAAATCAAAATTAAAGTTTTATGTGGTGTTAGTATCAATATGTTAGTCTTAAAGGGGTCATATGATGCGATTTCATTTTTTCCTTTCTCTTTGGAGTGTTACAAGCTCTTGGTGCATAAAGAAGATCTGTAAATTTGCAAAGACTAAAGTCTCAAATCCAAAGAGATATTCTTTATAAAAGTCAGCCACACCTACCTAAAACGGCTCGTTCTAACACGCCCCCACATATCTACCTCACTATGTGGGAAGATTTGCATAACGCCGACCAAATGTTCACGCAAAGAAAGAAGGCATAATTTTTATTCTCGCAGTAGTATTGTTGACGCTGCAGCCATGTCCTGAAGACGCTGTGTTTTTCGTTGTGAAAGCGAAACTACTTTGTTTGGTCTTCCAAAAGAGGACAATATCTGCTTCGTCATGCCTAGAGCTGATCCGTGCTGGTCGCTGAGGGAATACTTCAACTTTAAGGTTATCTATAAGGCAGTGTGCTCCAAAACAGTGACAAAATTCGCATTTAGAAGATATAAGCATTCAAAGCTTTTAGTTCATCACTTCCGCCAAAACGGCTCAACAATTTTTTTGACGTCACATCATACTTCATCTTCTCATCAAATCTTCTGACCAATCAAACGCTCTCTAGAAGCCGAAGCGCCCGCCCCCTACACTATAAATAGACGCTGAAGCTGCCGCTGAGATAGGTCGCTTGTTCACATTGTAGTATTTCCTGTACAGTGAATGGCACGTAGTGTACAATGTAGGCGATAGGGAATGATTCAGATTAGAGTAAATAGTGTAAATATTCTTTTGATTGGGGCAAATGAGGTCTTGTTTCACGTTGTGTCACACGAACCATGGCAGCGCACACAGTCTGATCCGGACTTTGGCTCCGGTCCAGAGACGCGATCGCACGGAGGTGATCATGCGCAAGTCAGCATATATTAAACACTTTTAAAACTACACAGCCTCAGCATGATTATGATCACTATTTTGTTTCTACTAAGAGTTTCATATTGAATCTAGGAGGTAATCTATTAGACTGTGGCTGTCAAATGCGGCTTTACCGAGCTCAACGGCTCTGACCCATGCAGATATAAACAAAACGCTACTGGCTAATTTATAAAGGGGGCGTGGCTGCTCGATATGTCCCGCCCTGTCTTCCTGTTTCAGTTGAAATTATGTCACCACATAGAATAACGCTGCGTGTTTCAAGGCACTTCAGGGGACCTTTAATTATGATATACAAGTGTTATGCAACCATAAGTGCTTTGTTTATTAAAAACAGGTTGAATAAAAACGGAGTAAAAAAAACAAAACATCTTTTCTAGATATTAAGAAACAAAAAACTCATCTAAATGAATGAAAATCAACTAGAATTTAAACATTCGGGATTCTTTTACCTTTGAGCGATTGGAGCAAACAGCTACACCTACGTCAGGGATCCAAACTGTGCTGTGAATCGCTCCGGATCCAGCAACTACCGTCTGCAGCACTGATCCATCCTACACGTATAAACATACAGACAAGCGTATCATCATGAAAACACTATAGTGAATCCTTTGAAGTTTGTTTGTTAGGATTGTAAGTTAGCCTGTATGCACTTATGAAGTGTACGTCAATGGTAGACACTGACCCGCAATGACCAGATGTTCAAAAGTCCGCCAACCCCTCCAGACAAAAGAGCAAGTCCATCTGGACTGAACGCTACTGTCCGCACAGGAGTCAAATGACCCTGCAGCTGGAACACACACACTGCTCCTTCACACCGCTGGGGGTCCAGCTGGACAGAGATAACACACACAAACACAAATACTAACTGATAGGGAAGCACAGATAGCAAAGCATTCAAAGATTTTAATTGCTCATAAGTAAGGACGCATTACCATCAGTTTGGATTTGGATTCTGATTCCCACCAGGCAACAGGGCAGGCAGTGCTGGACTGCGAGTATGATGAGGGGTCCTGCGGTACAGTCCACACAGATACCAGACCACTCTGACAACATCTGTGAGACAAAGATTTTTAGTGCACATCCCTCAATGGTTTTTATGATCATATCAATTTAGGTTAAGGGCATACTTCACAGTGCAGAGTTTTTTATGAAAAAAGATGAAAAAAAAAGAATAATTAATTGCTATTATTCTGAGAAAATATATTGTTTATATACCAGCAGACAGTAATATATATTGCAGAATGTAAATTTACTAGCATTATTTGAACTACTGTTCAAATGTTTGGGGTCAGTAAGATTTTTTTTTTTTTTAAGAAATTAAAACTTTTATTCAGCAAAGATACATTGAACTGAAATGATTTACATTGTTACAAAACATATCTATTTCAAATAAATATTATTCTTTTGAACTTATTATACATTAAATAATCCAGAAACTAAGTAGCAGGGTTTCCAAATATTAAGCAGCACAACTGTTTTTTTAAACAATGACAGTAAGAAAATGTTTGTTGAGCACCAAATCAAAATTTTAGAGTGATGTGGCACTGAAGACTGGAATAACGGCCGCTGATAATTCAGCTTTGCCATGACAGGAATAAATTGCATTTTAAAATATATTAAAATAGAAAACGGTTATTTTAAATGATAATAAAATTTCACAACATTATTGTTTTTACAGTATCTCTGATCAAATAAATGCAGCCTTGGTAAGCATAAGAAACTTCTTTCAAAAAGGTGACCCCAGAATTTGGATGCTAGTGTATTTCTGCTGGTTTATCATTTTCCCTAGTTAAATAAAGCACAACTGGAATCAGTTCTCTCATGCATTAGAGTACTCTCAGTCTGGACATACGTGGCAAACATGTTGAGAGGTTTAGGTCCCTGACCGGCCAGGCTGCACCAGGCAACAGCATTAACAACAGCAGGATGGGTGATGCTTTGCAGACATGTCCAGCTTTGACCCAAACCTGTCCCCGACCCCGCCCATAAACGCACAATCTCCTCTTTAGCACAGCTTAGCAACACTTGCCCACCAGGAGCCCAGCGCAATGAACTGATGCTTTCCTATAGTCACAACACACAAAGAGAGAACAAAGATTTGACTGTCAGTGAACCGATGAAGGCATGTTAAATTACTTCTTAACACATTAAATATTACATACAAGAATGTGTGAAAGTACAGCATATGTATGCTTATGTATGTGTGTGTCAGTTTATGATGAATCATGATGACTCTAACCTTGTGGGCATCAATAACCACCACAGATCCATTCTCTGAAGGCTCCTTAGAGCCAATCAGAAGCCTTCCATCAGCATATCCAACTGCAAAGGGACGATCCTCACTGTACCATGCGATCTGCATCACAGCCACTGCAGAGAAGAGCAACAAACATGGACACACACACATGAAAAAGTTTCCAAAAGTAATCTTGTTTACAGTTTCATAAAAACTGTCAGTACCGTCTTTCCTGAAGCAGTGTTGGAGTTCAGTTCTCTGCATATCAGAATCATCAAGGACCTCGAGAAGTCCCAGTGTCCCATCCATGCGGCCCACCAACAGGAGCTCTCGAGGCTCCCCGCCCCACAGTGACCCTGCCTCCTCTTCTGGCCAAGCTAAAGATGACACCCAATGAGGCTGCAGGTCCAGTAAGGCCTTCCCACCTAGTGTGCAAAAACGCAACATGCACCAATATTAAAACTCAATATTTATATGCCAATAATTATTTTCATGTCATGACCGAAAAAAGACTGGCATTAAAATGTGGGTAACACTTTACAATAAGGTTCATTAGTTAAACATTAGTTAATATATTAACTAATGTTTAACTAATGAACCTTATTGTAAAGTGTTACCAAAATGTGTATAATTTATTTCATTGTCTAAATAAATTAAAAACACTGAGAACTACTATCAGTTGTTTCAACTGCTACAAATGAATTTAGGAATTACAACATTATAATGCAGCTGGAACACACTTTTATTTAGTCGTTTTTAAAGAAGTGTGCATTAGATGAAGCAAAGGTAATCTAAATGTAAAAAAACAAAACAATTGAGCAGCACAATTAAATATCCAATATCAACCAATACTGATAAAGTAATAATAATAAAAAAACTCTTCTAATCTAATCTTGGCTGACATCAACACACACTACTGTTCAAAAGTAGTGCAAGTTTTTTTTTTGAAAGAAACTAATATTTTTATTAGACAATAGTGGCATTTTTTAGCTCAATTTACTTCTCATTTCTCATTTGATAGTGTCAGTGCCATCAAATCGATATTTGATCGATATACATTCAATATGTCTGAACGTGTTCTTTCAAACTTTCCATTCATCAAAGGATCTTGAAAGTTTCTTGAGCACTGATTCAACATATTAGAATGATTTCTGAAGGATTGTGTGACAATTAAGACTAATGTAATGTAGAGTAATGCCTGCCAAACTTTTGAACGGTAGTGTATATCGTGATGGTGAGCGACTCACCATTGACTTGCCAAATGTTCACTATTTTGTCCACGACAGCAGCCAAGTACTTCCCACTGACACTCCAAACCACTGGAGCCAAGTCTGGATCGCCTGGAGACCCCAGATTACCCATGCACTCGTCCAAAGTGTCATCTCTGAAAACAAAGATCATCATAAACATCACATTTCAGTGGGTGAAGAAAAAAGCCTAATTAGGAGAAAGAGAGGAACTCACCCTTTATTAAAGACACATGTCTGCTGCAGAGTGTATAGGTTTTTGGTCACGTTCCAAATGCGGACCGTCCCATCATTCCCACTAGTTGCCAGGAGGCCTTTTTTACTACACCACCCACATGTGATCACCTACAAGATACCAAATGATTCAGCATCAGAAACCATCCAGCGCTGTTTATACATAGCGAACACACAACGCTGGGGGAATCATACCCTGCTCTGGTGGGCCTCGAGTCTGAAAGTGGACCACTTCCGCAGGTCTCCTGCCACATCAGCGAAGGTCTGCGGGCGGCTCTGGTTGTCTCGGTCGTGAGCCGCCAGTGTGCGCACCAGCTGCTGCGCTGCCCATTGGCGGTGCTGCGACGAGAGCCGGGATGAGAGGCAGCATGCCGCCAGCGCATTTGCCAGCTCCAATGGGCCTACAGCAAGGGGGGCACAGGAGAGGTGGGCATAGAGAGGCGACATTAACCCTGCGATGACCGAGCAGAACAAAGCCAGGCCGCAAGCGAGATAAACACACACATACACACAGATGGGTACACACACACACAACAAGAAAAAAAAATATGAGAAATGAAAATGGTGGTGATTGGTGGCAAAAGCTGTGGTTTTCAGGCTGCAACATAACAAAGCTTCATCTAACAACCCCTCTGCTGCCAAAAGAAACAAATCAAATCAGATTGATGAGATTTAACTGAACAAAACAAAAAATAAATGACTGAAAAAACATGAACAAGTAAATAATGTGGCGGCATTGTCAACTAACCTCTTTTTTCCAGCTCAGCCTTGTCGTAGCCGTGTCGAAGCCTGGCACCTTTATCGGCAAGTAGTGCCACCAGCGCCTGGGTCACCACGAAATTGGGCGATGTCACCAGTTTGTTTTCTTCTGCCACTCCCCTCAGGAAACTGGGCAAGAACTTCCTCTGGATTGGATCATCTACTGTGGTCAGATTCATCCCGGTGGCAGCTGATATCAGATTCTAGAGGAAAAATCGAAGGAAGGCAGGGTGAGACAAAAAAAAAAAAAAAAAAAAGATGTAGCGCTTTTTGTAGTCTCTCTATTTACAAGCTTTTCATGAGTTTTCATCTGGATACCTGAGTGCACAGCTGGACCAGGAGTTTGGCAGCGCTGGGGCTGTTCGATGCCAGACAGCCAACGGCGGTACTGAGGTACGCCAAACAAGAAATAGGTTTGGTTGGCTTGCTAGCCCCTCGTGGGCGCTCAGTGGATCCAGGGCCTAATGTAAGGCCTGTGGAAAGTCCAGCTCTACCTGCTGCAGCCAAACACATCAGACGCACCAGGGTCCTAATGTCTGTCAAGCCCAGAGACTCCAATCCTGCTGCTAGACTGCAACTAGAGCCACTGAAGAGCAGAAATATGAGTTAACAAAAACACGTATGATAATTATATAAAATATTAATTGAAATAAAACTTAAAAAAGCCTAAAAATATGGCTTAGTAAAAAGTGCTACTAAATATATTACAGTGGTAAATTTACACTTTTTATTTGGTAATGCTACTCAATAAGGATATAATAATAATAATAATTATATACATAAATAGCCACATCACTAAACACACTGACCTAACAGACAGGAGGGACAGCGCTCTCATGACCATTGTTCTGGCTAACAGGACTTGTGCAGCTGCAGTGACTCTTTTCAGAGCCACCAGGCAATCAGCAGACGTCTGCAGTACTAACATTAGGCTGCTTTTAGCCATAGTTGGTTCACTCTCGGGCTAATAAATAAATTAAATTAGCACGATAATATCGTGTGTCGGCGATCTATCAGGCTGACGATAGGGCGATATGACTATGGAGCATATTGCTCAACACTAATTCTCACCTCTCAGGCAGTGGTCCTTTGATCTTGCTCTTCATGTTAAGGTATTTCTCTCTGCAGCTGCCACAGAGCAAATAATAGGGATTTCCACTTCCACACTCCCCTCCAAACCAGCCGTCAACATACGAGCCATTGCTGCGGTAACCCTGGCGATTGGCACTGCGACCACAGCCCGGGTGACTCTTCTTCATGTGCTGGTTGAAGCTGGACACGCTGACCCCACACAGCTCACACACCACCACCTCATCACGGTCCTCCGTCTCACACACATGCTAACACACAAGCAAATGAGACAAAACCAGACAACTGCAATCAGTTTGGAGAGTATGTCGTACATGTATGAAGATTTGAAAGCCAGTGGAACATGGATCAGGGCTGAAGCATCCCAGTATGCATCTGCTGCTTCCATACTGTGCTGGCAAAACATGCACCGGTGTTAGTGAGAGTGAGAGAGCCAATATGTGTCCAATATGAGGATGTGAGTGAGCAAACTTTATGTAAGAACAATATGTGTCACTGAACAAATATGTAGGTTTGTGTTTGTGTGTACAGCCTTGCAGGGGTTAAAGGTGAGTAGTAAAGCAGCGGCAGCCCCAGGCTGCTGTCACACACACCCATGTTGGCCAGTCCAGTACCTCCGGGATCCACATTCCCAGAATGTCGGAATCGGATGCAAGCTCCTGGGTGAACATGGCCTCCATGGCTTCCTGATCCAATTCGAGCTCCAACTCTTCATCCAGATTGAAGTCATACAGCGCCCCGAGCGGCCCAGGCTCCTGCTGCAGTCCAGAACCTTCTCGACGTGCTTGAGTTCGATGTGCCTGCACTGAGCGGTACAGTCCAGCTACACAAAAAAACACAACGTTACTGTGGAGTATTTACTGTTTTGATGATTCTTAAAATTGAATGTCGTAAAACTTTTTTTCCTCATTATAAGAAACATATATAAATAACAAAATATAAATAACTGTCCTGGGGGGTATTCCAAAAAGCAGGTTATGTGACATACCCGGGTATGTTTGAGGATAAGCAAGCAGATAACCTCAGCTTTCGGTTAAAAAATCTGAGGTTACTTTCAGGGTATGTAAGTAACCATAGTAATTTGCTCTCTGAAGATAATCTGCTCCGGAGCAGATTATGTTCCAGGGTTAGTTCACTTCAGCGCACGTGTGATCTACTGACAAGCCTTCAGTGGGCGTGACAGATAGCGCACAACATTATATAATATTACAAGAAAAAAAGAAAAAAGATTGCACAACCATCATTTAGGTGGCGATATGCACTAAGCATGTAAACGACCATTGAACAAAAAAAGAAGAAAGAAACAGCATGGCGCGCTTTTTCTTCGTCGATTCGTCACTCTGTTGAGAATGTCTTGAGTCTTAACCAAGAACATACTCTGAGTTGAATGAACTTACTCCTGGACGCGTTTTTGGAACCACATACCTTGAGTAAGCAAGGTTTGGGGTTAATCAACCGAAAGTTCAGGGTTTAGCTGACATTAAGTTAACCGTGCTTTCTGGAATACACCCCTGCAGACTTTACTAACTAACCTATCAGTAAAAAATGTTTTATGATTTTGTCAGTAAGATTTTTTTTTTATGATTTTGAAGTCTCACCAAGACTGCATAAAAGAAAAAACTGTAATATTGTGAAACATTATTACAATTTAAAATAAGTGTTTTTTTATTTTAATACATTTTAAAATTAAATTAATTTCTATTGACAACAAAGAATTTCCAGCAGCCATTACTCCAGTCTTTAGTGTCACGTTACCCTTAAGAAATCATTCAAAAATGCATATATTTGATGCTCAAGAATCATTTCTTATTATTATCAATGTTGAAAACAGTTGTGCTGCTTAACTGCTTTACATTTTTTCAGGATTCTTTGATAAATAGATACAGATGTCTGCTCAGGGTCAGCCTCATTATACAGGACTTCCATAAAAGCGATTAATTGACAAGTTGTTCAGATAACCCACTGACTAGTCGATTTAGAAAACATGTAACTTTGGAGATCCCTATACCTGCACGAGCTAATAATGTGCGTGCAGCCAGGTCAAAGCGGTGTTTCCTGTTGGCTGCAGAGCATCCTCTGGGAGTGGGGCCGGCAGAGGAAGAGCCCAAATCTTGATCAAGACCTTCAGGACTAGAATGATAAACGGGTGACAAAAATTAAGCTACACACTGTTTAATTACACTCATGCAACAATACAATATGGCATGCCATATATTCATACCTCTCACTGAATCCCTCCTCCATCTCTGCAGCATCAGCATTGGGGATGTCAACCGGTGAGCGCAGATAGCTCCTCTCTGTGCTCTTACCCCCTCCTGCCGCACCGGAGCAGGGGTCTGAAGCCTCATCAGAGTCTGCCGTGCCTGGGTGGTCGATCATCCACATCGCAAGCACAGTGATGTTCTGAGCATCTGCCTCACCACGTGCACCTACAGACCAGCACAGAACATAATCTGAATATCTGATATGATAACATGAGAAAAAAGTAGAAATTCTGAATTTAGACATGACATTTCTATGTGTATGTGTGTCTACCTGTTGCTTCCAAAGCTTTCATGATCTGTCTGAGTGAGAAACCCATTTCCAACAGTGGAACTGCGATGGCAGGAGGAGGTGGAGATGTGGAAAGACGACTGCTAGGGTCTGATAATGCTTGGAGCGAATAAACAAACAAAATCAGCTGTTTAATACGGGACTGTGTGTATATGGATATACAGTCATGTACAAAGATCTGAAAGACAGCCTTTCTAATTAAATAATTTTTTCCCGTTACAAATTATATCATCATCATAATAATTTGAGTAAAAAGTTGAATTGAAACATCTTTTGTTATTATTTTTTATTTTACTTTATTTCCATGTACTATTTATCATTGATTACTGTACTTGTACATTTAACAATTTTTACTGATGTGACAAATGTACAATGAAGAGGAGGGTTGGGGTGGGTCTAATGGTATTTTCATTAAATTTTTCATATAAATAATGTAAAAAAAAAACATTTTATAATATTTCTTATGTGTTCTCAGACTTCTGGACCTATTATGCAAAATTCACTTTTATAAGGTGTTTGAACACAGTTGTGTGGCCGCAGTGTGTGAAAACAACCAGCCTATAATGGTACAAATCCACCCACCCATTTTTTTATAATCCCAATAAATTATAAACAGTCTCTCCAAACGAGCGGTTTCAGATTCTCCCTCTTTACACGTCACTGAAGGAGAGAAAATCCCACCCATTTGTGACGCTCTCTGCCCTATTAACATAGACACAGTCCTGAATGAGAAGCAGCAGTGTGCCATTAGTATTTTCTTGCTGTTTTCTTGCTGTTCTAAGGTTAGCTGCTGGAGATATACAATGTCAGCGCTAAAGAGGCATTACAAATGTTGTGTTTTGGGACGCACCAATGGACACAGGAGTCTCCAGACTCCCTCCATCTGAGCTGCTTAGAACACTGTGGTTAAATTTAATTTTCGAAGGAAATTTCCCCCCAAAAATCGGCAAAGTCCCCTATATGTTTAGGGATCAATACCAACGCTTCATGCACGAACGTCAGCTCCAGACAAAGTAAGTATCACACGTTTGTTTTTTTAGAGTATCACGACACATACGCACGCTTTTCCCCCAAGCGTAAACAACGCTGATTAAGCAGATTTCGTTCATGCGCGCGCTTTCTCCTCCGAACGTAAACAACGCTGATTACGTGGATTACGCTCTTGGGTACTCTCCAAAATGGCGGAAGACATAACTCGGGGGAGAAGAATTGTTGAATATATTTTTATTTTTGTTTTCTTTGCGCTCAAAAAGTATTCACGTAGCTTCGCAAAACTGAAGTTGAGCCACTGATGTCACATGGACTGTTTTACTGATGTCCTTACTACGTTTCTGGACCTGGGAACCTTACAGTTGCGTTGTTGTCTATGCAGCGTCTGAGAGCACTCAGATTTCATCAAAAATATCTTAATTTGTGTTCCGAAGATGAACGAAGGTCTTACGGGTTTGGAACAACATGAGGGTGAGTAATTAATGAAAGAATTTTAATTTTGGGGTGAACTAATCCTTTAACAAACTATAAAAATGATCTGTGGGGTATTTTGAGCTAAAACTTCACATACACACTCTGGGGACATCAGAAACTTATTTTACAATTTGTAAAAAGGGGCATAATGGGTCCCCTTTAAGAAACAAACATGTGTATTTGTACCTGTCCTGCTGGTTCTGGCAGGCTGGGACTCAGGTGACGTGAGGCTCTGTCTCCGGCCGTGCTCGTCTGATGGTGAGGTGGGCAGCGATGAGACGGGAGGGGTCTGAGCTCTACGTGCTGGCAGAAGGGTGGTTGTTGGGTAGCTGGAGAACATCTGCCTGCTCAGACATGCACTTGCACATTAATCATGACACACAGATTGAAAGATTCAGTGTTCACACACTCTCAAAGAGACAAAGTGTGTGTGTGTGTGTGTACCTGAGCAGGCTGAGGGGCATTACTCCAGGTGATTCAGAAGCTGGTGCCGTCTCTGCGTCTGTAACAGGTGTGGTGGCTGTGGTAACAGGTGTGGTTGCTGTGGTGGTGTCCTCCAGCGAGGAGCTCATGAAGGAGGTGCTGCTGGAGGCTGATGGGGAGGTGGTGACTGGAGTTTGAAACCGTTGGTCTCCCTCTAACTCCTCACATTCTGTGTCCACTAAAAACAAACACATTCACATATTTTCTGAAGAGAACTATGCGTCTTGTGAATGAGATTGTAAAAAAAAAATCATAGCTTGCAACAAAGTCCAATCATTTAAAAAAAAAAAAAAAAAAAATTAAATAAAATGTTTTAATTTAATTTAATGTTTTCATAAATAAAATGTTAAAACAGAGATCCACTGAGGTGAAGTTTTTTAGGAAAATTCAATCGTTAGCCTTCAAGTTCTGGCAAGGTCTGATTTTTTTAAGATTTCACTGGCGTCATATATAATAATAGCAGCAATTACACTGTACAGTCAAGACTTTATAAACTACCAGTTTATAAAACTACCGTTTTTTTAAAGAAATTAATTCAGAAAGGTTGCATTAAAATCAGTGTCAAAAAAACAAAAGATTTCCATTTCAAATAAATTGTGTTTTTTGTTTTTTCTTCTTTCTTTTTTTACTTTCAAATCATATTAGAATGATTTCTGAAGGATCATGTGACACAGAAGACTAAAGTAATGGCTGCTGAAAAATCAGATCTACCAACTGATTACATTTAAAAGTATATTAAAATAGTCAAAATGGTTCTTTTGAATTCTAATGTTCCACAAAATTACTGCATTAACCATATTTTTAACCAAATAAATGCAGCCTTGGTGAGCATAAGAGATTTCTTTCAAAAACATTACAAAAAATCTTGACCCCAAACCTTTGAACAGTAGTGTAGATTAAGTCAGTTTACGTGTATCAGGTTTGTTTTATGTTTTCTGATATACCTGGTTTAGAACTGTGGCCTTCCTGTTCTTCAAGTAGGCTATTGACCACCAGTTTGTAGATCATAGCTTGTGCCCGCTCTAGGTCTGCCAGCCCAAGTGCCCTTTTAATGGGCGACCTCATCACCGCCCGCTTCACCATGTGTCGCATCAGAAACTGAAGAGACGATCGCAGCTCCGCCTCCTCCTGACACACGCTCACCCCAGGGCTGGCACAATCCGCATTATGACCGCTGTCAGGCGTGACTTTGGGGATCAGCAGCAGCTCAGCGTATTTACTGCAGCTCAGAAGTATGCTCAGGGTCTTCATCGCTCCCAGATACAGATACGACAACTGCACCGCATGCACCTCCATCTGCGCAGCCGCCTCCTGTGAGCGCATCCCCACCATCTCCTGCAGCCTGCGCCGTCCCTCCGCTGGAGTCTGCTGTGTGGCATCCTGTGTGTAGGCAGCGAGCTCGCTCTCGGAGCGAGAGTTGGGCGGAGCTCGAGCTCGAACCTCATCCAAGCTGTGAGATACACGCAGGTCTCCCGTCCCCTCTTTCGGTTTGGTGCGCGACTCATTCTCCCGTTCTTCCTGGGGTTCGTGGCGATGTCTTCTCTCGTGTCGCCGACCGGAGGCAGATTTGGAGCCGTCGTCCTGCAGGCTTGCGAGGGCGGTGAGGTCCAGCAGCAGAGCCGCAGTGAGTCCGCGGAAACGTGAAACGTCGAAGGGAAGAGGCTCGATTGGCTCCAAGTTGTACAACGGTGTGTCACTGGGCGACCAAAAAGTGGGGAAGCTTCAATGAAAAGGAGTGACAAACCAAACACAGAGAGAGAAAGAGACAGAGAGAGAAAGTGAGGGAGCAGGGAGGAGGACCAGGGAACATGCAACATCATGGAGCTAATGCAAAGGAAAAAGTCAATGAAATGATTAGGGAGGAAGAAAAGTGGATAAAGAGACCAAGGAGAGCAGAAGGCAGAAAAGTAGGAGAGCTCTGGGGAGCAGGAGCGAAGCAAAAGCCTCAATTTCACATTCATATAAATCACTCAAACAGATACCCAATCTCTCACCTGATGGTAATCTCCGCCTCATCCCATTGCACCTTAGCTGATGTGCTCCCCTCCTTCACCACACCCAGCAGAGTGGCGTGTCTCCCCGTCTGCTTGTGCACACACCGTCCCCCCATCCTTAACCCACCATCTACTCCCCCTATCACAGCTAACACTGGCCACACCTGGTGGCACAGCATCCGCAGGTGCACCTCCGACAGCTCGGCCGCCGCGTGCCGTCCACTTCTTCCTCTCTCCTCCTCTCGCTCTTCCTCCTTCTCGTCCTGCTCCTCTCTGCTCTGTGCTGAGAGGCTCTTGCGCAGTCTGGTGGCCCCTACTGGAGGAGCACCTTCTCGCAGGCAGCCCCTGATCTGCTGGAGGCGCTGGAGGATGCTGCGGTTGATAGTTTGGGTCCAGCGCTCTGAACGGTGTAAGATACGGACCAGCTGGGTGGTGGCTTCCGCCAGGACAGTGGCCACAGGGCTGCAGATTGGGTCACCAGGTAACAGGTCACGTGGTGTGCCCCTCATCTGCATGTCACAGATTTTTACCTGCAGGGAAGGGGTGGGTGATATACTGGTTAGAACACTATAGAAAGCTGTAGGAAATTGTCAATCGGTATACATTTTTGTTGATATCGCTGTTATGGCAGTGCTACCATTGCATTCTACTAAACTGTTAAGGAATCTGCTAAAAAAAAAAAAATCTAATTCATCAAAATTATCATCAATAACAAATCACAACTAATAAAAACATTTTTGTTAATTGAAATACAGCTGAAATGAAATAAAATATAAATATTTGATGAAAAACTCAAACAAAATTTAAAAAAGAGAAATGTTACCTTACCTTGGCATAAAATACATTTAAGCTAAGGAAATAAAATTATTAAATAGAAATAAATGAAATTAACTAAAACTTAAATAAAAATGAATTAAACCTAAATAATATTTTTTTAATTAAATAAAAAAACTATTTAAAATGAAAAAAGCACATAAATTTAAAAACAACTACTAAAAATCAAATGTAAAATATTAAGCTTTATTACTTGGATTGAAAAATTATGCACATTCATAAATTTGTTTCATAGCCATGTATGTGACTGTTCAAATAATAGAAAAATGCATCAATTTTGTTATTGACCCAAAAGATTTACAAATATCATGATATAATTTTGTGCATCTATTGCCCACCTCTAAGGTGAAGCAATCAGAGTTTAGACTGACCTTCCACCTACATGATTATGCAGTCTGAACAGTTCATCAGTGTTATTTTAGATAAACAGAAGACCACAGAGTTTAAATCAACATCAACATCAGCACTTCTGTGTCTTACCTTCTCCCCGGGGTTACTGCTGTAGAACATAACACAAGGGTACAGCTCTGTAGCATCGACATCCTCAAAGGCCAGTTTGGGTTCCTGCCACATAGGTTTAGAACATAAGCACATATGACGTAAGACAGTTAATGTGTATTACAGCTCAGCTTTTGATATGCAAGTTGGTAAAATGGTTGAGTATTTGTGTGTTTGTAAGTGGGCTGCACCGCACCGCACCTCTCCGTTCTTGCCAAAGGACACAGTCCTGGCCTCCATGTCCAGCACACAGGTGATGTAGTCTCCTTGTGTGTAGCTGGACAGCGTAAGGGTCTGCTCTCCATTATGGTAGAGGTTGCCGCTGTATGCGCGGTAGAGCCACATGTCGGCTGTTGTGCGGTGGTTGAAATCATGCACAGGCCAGCGGGACACACCTACACACGTTCCCTCATTTCCACGATTCTCCTTCACGATATAGAACTGAAAACAAATCATACACACTCTTATACTCACACAGCTTGACACAATGCACATATTGTGCTACTGGCTTACATGAAGTTTGATTCAAAAGTTTGGGGTCAGTAAGACTTTTTAAAAACGAATTTAATAATTTTATTCAACATGGATGCATTAAATTAATCAAAAGTGACAGTAAAGACATTTCTATTTCAAATAAAATCAATTGAACTTTCTATTTATCACAGAATCCTGAAAAAAACGTATCAGTTTCCACAAAAATATTAATAAGCAAAACTGTTTTTAACATAATAAATGTTTCTTGAGGACCAAATTAGCATATTTGAAAGATTTCTGAAGGATCATGTGACAATGAAGGGTAAGACTTGAAAATTCAGCTTTGCCATAACAGAAATTAGATTTTAAAAATCTTTAAAATTGATAAGTTATTTTAAATATGTAAAATATTTCACAATATTTAATATATTTAATATTGAATATACCGCTTTTACTGTTGTTTTGATCAAATAGTGTAGTCTTGACCCCAAACTTCTGAACTTTACACCATGTCTACACCGGACATGGTGTAAAGTGCGGCTTTACGCGACAAAATACAATAGAACCTATTACGCTGTCTACACTGGATGTGGCGTGGCGCGACAAATTCCCGACAGTAAACTGCTGCTGCGTTCTATTTATGATGTACTGACACAAATTTCAAATGATTTTCAATGGTCACTTTGTCGCGTCCAGTGTAGACAGACTTTAGCGGTTGCGGCGCGGTGCGACACGACAACTGTCGCGTCCGGTGTAGACACGGTGTTAGTGTAAAAAGAAGTGTGTAGAACCTTCCACTGATAACAGCCAGAGGAAATGCCAGTGGAGGCCAGGCCATAACCTTTGCCTCCACTGCCATGTGTCAATCCCTGTCCGCTTTCCACCACACAGCACTGTGCCTTCTCAGGGTCAAAGGTTACTTCCTGGATAGGCAAATTTTCTTCTTCCTCCTCTGATTCACCCTAAAACAACCAACAAAGATGGCATTTAAAGGCATTGGGTATGAGTACATTTGAAAGCATTACAACCTCTTACACTTGACTGACTGAATCTCCCTCACCTGTAGTTTGAGTTCCTGCTCTCTCTCTTTCAGCTGGATGGTGTGTTTGGCTTGAGCAACAGGTGCCTCCCACATACAATCCGAGAGCAGTGAGAACAACCTCTCCACCACCTACCACACAAAGACAAATTAAACTCTGCAAAACATAATCCATGATAAAAAAAAGAGCACAGCAGAGGTGTGTGGAATTAGACCTGGGTCATCTGATGGTCCTCCACGCTGCTCTCACAGGCAGGAAGCACAGCTTCCAAAACATGCAGGGCTAACAGCCGTGTCCTCAAATTACCAACCAACGGAATGCCTGAAAAATACACACATTTAACTAATCGAACAACTAGCACACAGACAAGACGATGTGATCGGGACATTGATGTACTACCTGAACAGCATTTCTGAGCAGCAATGCTGAGAAGGACTTCAGTCCATTTAGGAGAGGCCATCTTGGACTGAATGGCTTTGGAAGAGACGACTCGCCGCAGAAACACCAAGAAGTCACCGAGGTGTAGCTCTGCTGTGTGTCTCTTACGTAACAATGCTACACCAATATAAAAGCAATGTATAAAAAACACTAAATAAAGTAACTTACTGAGCATGTTGCTGTTGACCTGCAATTGTCCTACCTCGAAAATCTTTTTTCTGAGCATCTGCGCAGTCGTCAGGCTTCTCCTGCAGTTCTGTACTTGCACTGAGCGTGCTTCCAGCAGCCTGAGCCAGCAGAGTCTTCAGCTGACTGCACAGAAGATCCAGCAGAGCCTGGACCACCTTAGGACTCAACCTGTCTGCATATGTCCTGATGAAAAGATAGGAAAGAGCAAGAGTTAATGAATCCGTCTTCTGTGCTCCTGCTAAGAGAGATATAAACAGTGTGATGTGACACTGGTTAACAAACCTAATTACCTTCTGATAAATTACACTACAGAGTTTGGGGTTGGTAAGATGTTTTATGTTTGTTCACAATGACTGCATTTATTTGATAAAAAAATACAGAAGCAGTATTATTGTAAAGCATTATTACTATTTAAAATAACCGCTTTGTGTTTGAATATATTTTTAAATGTAATTTATTCCTGTGATGGCAAAGAAACAAATGTTGATTTTCTGCTCAAGAACCATTTGAAAACACTTGTGCTGTTTAATAGTTTTGTGAAAACAGTTTTGTGGCATTTCTAAGGATTCTTTGATGAGTAAATCATTCAAAAGAACAGCATTTATTTGAAATAGATCTTTTGTAACACTGTAAAAGTATTTACTGTCACTTCTGATGAATTTAATGCATTCATTTCCTTACAAAAATCTTACTGACCCCAAACCTCTGAATGGTAATGTAAACAAGATGCCAAAATCTCACAGTGGGTCTAAAGAACATTTATGGAGTAGCATCATAATTTAAAACACACAGCATTTGAGGTTCAGATCAGCTATGAAAAACCAGGTTTTAACAATCTGTGAGAGAACTGTGTTGTACCCGGTGCTGATGGCTAGTATCTGTAGCAGTCTGGTGCTGGCCACTTTGAGGGCAGTGTTGAGCTGAGAGCCTGCAGGTTTGTGCAGGAGTTGCAGTGTCTGTCCAAGCAGGGTTTCCGTTCCACAAAGCTGAGAGAGAACATCCAAGAGACCGCTGGAGATGGCTAATGATACATCGACAGGTTGGTATCGCACACTTAGAGCAAAGACCGTCACCAACAGCAGCCTCTGCTGGGCCTCTGTAAACACACATCATTATGAATATACTGTACGTTCAGCATAATATATGCTACATAAATGAATATACTGAATGTGTGCTCAAATACATTACCTATGTGGTGCTTGTTTGCTTGCAGGGCTCTCTCTAATGTGACTGACAGCTGCTGATAAATCTTATGAACAGCTGTCTGAATGTCCATCTGTAAACTTTTCTTGGCTGCTCTGACTCCATCCTACAAGGAAAGATAAAGGACATGCAGAGCAAAGCATGAATAATGACATTCAAAATTATTTATCATAACATTTCAGTTCTTCAAACCCAGTTTATTGTTCAATATGTGTTAAAGCAAGAAGACTGAATTGCTCACAGACATGCCGATCAATTTTATGGGTCTTTATAGCTATTTTTTCAGTAAGGAATTATGCCCACATTCTAGCATAAATGAGCACATATTAAGCCAGCATGACCTACAAAGATAATCAACTATGTTTAAAAACTCAATTTGTTGCTTGTTATCCACTGATAATGGTCATAAATTAATGTTGAAATGTATGACACACATTCAAACAAAGATTTTCTCTTCTTCAGTACTTCTGAAACAAGTCTAAGATTAGATCCATGTAACAATTACCTGGTAATGGTGCAGTTGGACACTCTCCCCTTTTGGCCCCCCATAGCTGACAGCACCAAGGCCAAAACATCCCGACAGGAACTGCAGTCTGACTGATGTTAGCAGAGAGGCAGAGTGAAAACTGAAGCCTGTGCGTCCAGCTCCACCTCCAGAGCCTGCCTGACTGCTTTTCTCCTCCATCCCAGAAATCAACACCACAATCTGGTGAAGGGCCTCCAGACGCAACTATATAAATACACAAAACACAATCATAAAAGCACAAGATAAACAAAGTCTGTGTGTGGAAGTGAAGACAGGCATTTGACAAATAAAGAGTCAGAACATACCTCTGCTCGACTCTGTTGCTGCTCCATGGCTATAATAATTGCCTGTGGGCTGGTGGACACACTCTCTTCTGGTTCCTTAAACACAGGAGCATTCCCAACATCTCCACTGATGAAGTTCACTATGTTCTCGATGAGTGCATGGAGCCTGAATGAATGGCTCAGATCAAGATCTGACTCCTCGTAGGACTGTGGAGAGCTGTACAAACACTCGCGAGCCGAGCGTCCTCCAAACCAGTCAGCAGAAGAGTCTGGAGAACTGTACAGAAAGCCTTGAAAACACAAGACAAATAATGGGCCAATAATAAAGTATAATGTAACCATTAAAATTATGTAATTAGAAAATTATATAATTTGTGTGCCATGTACATTTATGCTTAATACAGTATTGCTTTGTTTCTCGTGTGGCTTCTATGAAACAATTTTTTTTTGCTATTTGTATGACATGAGTATATGAAGTACTCCAAAGCAGATGAACTCAGGTCACTTGAGCACAACCTCAGCTCCGACCCGAAGAAGTCACATTTGATTTTTGATTTTCATTCACTATTCCCTACATTACTCCACTAATGAATGAAAACAACGGAGCAAATTTAACCAATTAGTTGGTTTAGGTGTGTTTTAATGCAGTTTCAAATTCTCAACACATCAATGGATCACATCGATTTTCTCACATTTTCAGTCCTGATTATAAGTGAAAATCTATGGAAAAGATTTGAAAACAGTCAAATTTGGCCTCAGAACCTATTTATTAGTAGCTGAAAACATTATCAACATATTTTGGGACAGAGCCTCCCAGACACAGAGCCTACTGTAGATCAAAAAATGTGCAAACTCCCACTTGCTGTTTATTGTACTACAAAAAAAAGTCTAATATCTGTAGCTATGACTGTTTGCAGTACATACAGATAAGAAAATAAAAGCAAAAGCAGCTTAAATGGCATCCTATAATCTACTGCTCGAACAAATCCTTGTCTATATTTATTTTAACCCCCCTTTTATAATAAAGGCCACAAGAACTGATGCCAGATTTCCAGCAAAAAAAAGTATATGATTTACAGGTGAAATGTGAACGGGACAGACAGGTTCTGTCATAAACTGCGCTTTTCTTGTGTGCAGGCCTGGACATGAATAAGAATAAGGAATAAGTATGGTAACACTTTATTTCGATAGTCCACTTTAGACATTCTATTAGCAGTAAGTAACTTTGCAACTACATGTCAACTAGCAGTTAGTAGAGTATTAGTAGACTGTCTGCTTAATATCTAACACTTTCTTTGTCAACATTCTACTAACCCTAAACCTACCCTAACGGTCTACTCTGAGAGTTAGTAGACATGTAGTTGCAAATTAATGAGAATTAGTTGACATGTAGTTGACATGTAGTTACAAAGTTACTTATAGTTAGTAGAATGTCTAAAGTGGACTATCGAAATAAAGTGTAACCATAAGTATTATGTGAGTAGTATTTTATAGAAACAAATTTGCTGTGGCACATTTTGGGCTTGGGGAATAAATCTGGCAATGCATGAAGAGGCTATAAAGATGCCAGCAGGAATCCACTGTCATCTTATTTCATGGACCCATTTAGCAATGTAGAAAAAAATAGACAGACACACAGAGCTGTCAGAGACACATTACATGTGTACACAGACTTTTGCACAAATATACAGATTAAGAGAGTAGTACAGTATGTCCCACTGCTACAGCCTCAGTATGTTAAAGGCCGGGCGTTACCTCTTTTTTTAGGAGTGAAAGCTAAATCCAGATCCACATTCCTCCTCACATTCTGAAACAGGTCACACAGACAGGTTACATAACTGCAATTGATATAGTTATATATTAAGCAAAGCAGATAAGGCAGTGTGTGCATGTGTCACACATCTCACCAGTGAGTATCCCTCCTCATCAGACTCTGGCTGGGAGAGATCAGACTCACTCCTGGATTTTGTGAGTCTGTAGTTGGGACTGCTCTGGATGGACCGACTCTCTGCCGACAGGCTCTCACTCCTACACACAAAATGAAAATGGGAAGTTACATGTCCTGTGAGCGGACATAACATAATCGTGTCATTAAAATGTGACCTAAATATAAATTAATACCACTAATGAAGAATGTTTTTTGTTTATTGAAATTATGGATCAGAGTAACCGCTGCTTTTAATTGCAATTGGGTCAGCTCATAAAATCTAGAAAAGTAGGTCAGGCATTCCTGGGCAGGACTGGCAGCGCTGGAGCAGACTGGAAAGGTGAACGAGTTCAGCGAGGCCTTCAGGCTCAAAAGACAAGGGTTATGATTCAAAAGACATAAGTCATGCTTACACATGTTAAATCAGCTAAATGTACTGATGACGCTACTCACCTCGTCATAAACCCGCCTCCGTCCTGGTTGACCCCACCTGTCAGGGGTTGCTGATTTATATGCTGGGCGAGCGGTGTGCTGACGGCCAGCAGGAGCATGGCACAGCGGTGGATGACAGCATTGCATGCGGTGGTATAAAGATCCTGTCCCTCCTGAGGGGTCGTGCTGCTCCTGTGCTCCGGACCGGGCTGAGCCGGCTCTTCCTGTACGCTCATGCTTCCGGTTCGATCTCGGTCCCTTCCTCGCGCTGCTTCCCGTGCTGATAGGAAACATTGAAAGATTTCTGTGTCCGCCAAGACATAAGACACAGAGCGGCCAGGTTAGGGAAGCAGCCAAGAAGCATGACGCTAACTAAGTTATTTATTAGTATACGCTACCATTCAAAAGTTAGTATGTTTTTTAAAAGAAATTAATACTTTTATTTGGCAAGGATGCATTAAACTAAAGACTTTCACATTAACAAACAAGATATTTACATTTTAAATAAATGGTGTTCTTTTGAATTTTGTAATCATCTGAAAAAAAAAGTATCATGGTTTCAACTTAAATATTAAGCAGCACAACTGTTTCTTGAGCATTACAGGAATAAATAACATTTAAAAATACATTAAAATAGAAAACTTTTAAAAAAAAATAATATTTCACAATATTAGTGTTTTTACTGTTTATTGATCAAATAAATGTAGTCTTGGTGAGCAAAGGACAGTAAGAACCTTTTGAATGGTAGTGTATATTGTGTGGTGTGTTCTAGCACAATGCAATTTAGACTATATGTCAAACCAATTCTTAAATATACCTTTAAAGTAATTAATTAAAGGTGTAATATATGATGTTGCTAAAAAGAACATTATTTTGTGTATTTGGTGTAAGGAGGTTCAAAAAAATGTTCAAAAAACACATTATTTTCCACATACTGTACATTATTGTTTCTCCTCTATGCCCCGCCTTTCTGAAACACGTTGATTTTTACAAAGCTCATCGGTCTGAAAAGCGAGGTGTGCTCTGATTGGCCAGCTATCCAGTGCATTGTGATTGGCTGAATACCTCAAGCGTGTGACGGAAATGTTATGCCCCTTACCATACTGTGATGCCCTGTCCGGCCGGAGCGACGAGACAAAAACATTAAAACCCATTATAAACGAGGCATTTGTTGCATCCAGTGGGGACATAATTACGGATTATAATGACTTATACTGTCCTCTTAGGAGGACAGTAAATTATAATGTCCTCTTTTGGAAGGCCAAAAAGTAGTTTCGCTTTCACGACAAAACACAGCGTCACACACGGCGGTCCACAGTGAAAGCCGATCCGACGATCGACAGCGCAAAGTTGATTTATTTCCTCAGCGACCAGCACGGATCAGCTCCAGGCATGACGAAGCGGATATTGTCCTCTTTTGGAAGACCAAACAAAATAGTTTCACTTTCACAACGAATCACACAGCATCTCCACAACATGGCACCGGCGGCAACAACAATACTACAGCGAGAATAAAAGTTACGCCTTCTTTCTTTGCGTGAACATTTGGGCGGCGTTATGCAAATCTTCCCACATCGTGACATAGACATGTGGGGGCGTGTTAGAACGAGCCGTGTTAGGAAGGCGTGGTTGACTCTTAACTTTTATAAAGACTATCTCTTTGGATTTGAGACTTTAGTCTTTGCAACTTTACAGATCTTCTTTATGCACCAAGAGATTGTAACACTCCAAAGAGAAAGGAAAAATTTAAAATCGCATCATATGACCTCTTTAAAACGGTCATTATTTACTCACCCTCATGTCATTCCAAACCTATAGTATATGCGGTTATTTTTTTAATGGATATTGACAGCCATGTAAAAATTCTTTGTTTTATTCCACTAAATATCTCATATGGTTTTAGAATGATAAAAGGGGAAATAAACAATTAACGAATATTAATTTTTAGGTGTAATAACTAAGATCTCAAAAAAAAGGAAAGAAAAGTGTGTAAGAATGTGTGTGACAATTAGGGGTGGGCGATACAGCCTCAAAATTATATCACGATATTTCAAGAATATTTGCGATAAAGATATTTATGACGATATAGAAAAAAAACATGGAACAACATTTTATTAGTGATTGCAGCTGGCACGCAGCAGCATTTATTAGTGCAAACAAAATGAAGGGCATTTTCCATCTTTTTCCAATGAACAACTGTCATCGATGACAGACTACCTAATTTGAAATGTAAATCTATTGTCATAAGGTGGCTGCAGCAGCTGTGTGTTCGACTTGAAGCAGACCGATCAGTGTATGACGTCAAAATACCGCGAGAGTGACTTACCCCTTATTTACACTGCACGCGTCTGCGGCACGTTACGGCTCCGACGCGGCCACTCTAGTCGATGCTTAATGTTTACACCAGCAGAGCTGCGTCACGTTTCAGAAGCGTCCCAGAAGCGGCTCTCCGCGCTGCTTCGCTAAAGATATGCACCTCGCCTATTTTTGAAGGTAAGAGTGTGCACTCGAATATGCTCTAGAACCACTCTCGCGATACTTTGATGTCATATACCAATTAGTCTGCGCAGCGCTGCTTCAAGTCAAACACACCTACTGGGTTTGTGGTGTTGTTGATGTGCGCGCTAGGGAAGGTATATCCGCCATACGTCATAGCGTCGCTATATCATTGATATCGCGATATGACACGTTTTTATCATGTAAAAATGTATATGGTATTATCGTGGACGGGATGATATGGCCGACCCCTAGTGACAACTTTGCTCAATGCCACCCAAAGCATCAGCCAACATCAGCACACACACACATGCCCTTTACAAATGTGTCAGAACTCACTTCCTGCGGTCATGACCTCATGCTCTCTTTCCTCCTCATCATCTTCCTGCTCCTGATGACCCTCTTCTCTTTCTCTCTCTCTGTCTCTCTCCTCCAGCTCAGCCTCCTCGTCTATAGTTCGGGTGAAAGAGTGTTCCTGTGGATCCATCTCCACAGAGTCCACATTATCAGAGATCTGCACTCAGGAAAAGAAATGGCATTACATATAATGGGATCCAACATTAAAATTCTAGGATATTTCTAGGATCTTAAAGGAATAATTTACATAAAAACATAAAAAAGTTTTTTTTTTATTTGTAATTTAATTTTCTTCAAACATCCTAAGTTTTCAATCAAACTGCTACATTGATAATATAATTTAAAAAAAAAAGAGTCATACTCTGCGTTCTCGTGATGACGAACGGGTCTGGATGAGCTCCATGTTCTTACAAGCCAAGAGGCGATTCCGCACCTTATACACACTGCGATACACCTCTGCCAAGAGTTTACATGGCTGGTATCTGTAGGAAGACAGAAAATAGGAAAGAAATTCTTTATTAGTGTCCACAGTGTAGTATTTTCTGAAGTTATGTAGAATATAATGTCATACCTCCCCTCTCCACACGCCTGTCCCAGCAGCCCTGTGTGTTTCAGCAGGACAGCAAGCACAAAGCGGGACACTGTGTCTAACAGAGCCTCATTCGGCAATGATGCACTGTCCCAATCTACACAAACACACACACAAAAGACTAAATTAACATGTCATCTAAGACATTTGTTTGCACAAATGAAAAGTGGATAATGCTAATGGAAAAATTTGTTCTGCTTTTAACCAATAACTTCTTATAACGTCCAATTACTGCAAAGTTAAGATAGTTTGTGCCATAAAGATCTGGTTTATGGCCAGCTGTAACATAACAGAATATGAATGTTAATTGCTTTTTTATTGAACTGTAACCTCAAAGCAATAATTATGGAAAAATACTCTGCCCCATCACAGGGATCTAAGCTTAATTATGACAAAACTTCTACATTCTGAAACGGCTTTCAGAAACACAAATGGATTTATTTAAAAGAAATTACAACTGACAAAGTCCTAATCTGATTCTGCTTCCGGCTTCGCTACTGTTCGGATGCTCTTGTTTACTGCTCCACGCTTTTCTCCCTGCTTATGTACTTTTCTCAGATTTTAACTTCAGCAGATCAGCACAGTGCTCAAACAACACATTTTGCGCTTTTAGCTATTATGCCACCCGCAGTTGGAATCAGCTTCCAGAAGAGATCAGATGTGCTAAAACATTAGCCACATTTAAATCCAGACTCAAAACTCATCTGTTTAGCTGTGCATTTATTGAATGAGCACTGTGCTACATCCGAACTGATTGCATTGTATTTTATATATAATCATTTCCTATTTTTAACTGTTTTAAATTAATTTTAAATACATTTTTAAATAATTTTTAAAGTTTTTAAATTCCTTGTTTTATTGTTGTGATTATTTGTTATGGTTATTTTACTTCCTTTTATGTAAAGCACTTTGAACTACCATTGTATATGAAATGTGCTATATAAAGAAACTTTGCCTAATCAGGAGCAACGAGACAAGTTGCGTGTAGTGAGATTTTGAACCAGTGAGATTTCACTGTGGGTGGGGCTACCCAATACCACAGAAATAGAAACCATTATAAGGTTTGCATAGGTTAATGTGTGACTTCTGAGACTATACAAGCACTTAGCACTTAGGTAAAGCTAATCATCAGTGAATCAATTATACTCTTAATACTCTTTCCATATTCCTCAATATATGTTCTGTTTTTGTGTCGTACCCTTGCTGATGGCATAGTCCTGCATGTTTGTCCACAAGCTGTGTGTGGGCTCTTTAGTTGATCCAAGGGACAAATCAACCAGCACACTCATGTCAGCACCCAACTGACAGTCAAATGGTCTTTGCTCCTCATTTCCACACAGAGCCATCTCCAGCAGAGAGCTAATACACACATCTGAAACACATTCACCATTTCAGCTTTAACTAACAAAACATTTTTTTACTTCCATACATTTCATAACAAAATAGGACATTTATTTATAATGGGAATTACAGTGCATGTGCATACCAAGCTGGGGTATATCAGTCTGCAAGCCGTTACTAAAAAGCGGTGTTTTGAGCCAATGGGTAGTGTGCTGTTCCTCTGGTGAGGGCGGGGCTCCCTGCAGCATTCCTCCGAGACAACGTCCCACAAGCAGTGCTACAGTTCGCTCCAGATCCACCAACCACACCCAGCACTGTGCTGGTCCTGACACACATACTGGATCAACCAGATCTGGAGTGCCTACAGGAAGAAGGGTAAGGAAAAATAGTCTTAAGAAGTTAAGTAACTGAATGAGAGAAGAGTGGTTCTTGAGTGTTGAGTGGCTCTCAAACAGGGGGATGGGCAAATTCCCATGGGGCGCACACAAGATTGCTTAAAATTATTAAAGTTATATATATACACATACATGTGTGAGTGTGTGTATTGTAATTTTAATAATATAAACTTAAATTAGCTATTTATCATATGAATGTGAAAATCTGACCATGTAGTGGCCACTGCAGCTCCTGTTCCTCCAGAGGTGTGGCGGCAGGCAGAAGTCTGTTGAGACGGTCCAGAGGGGGAAGCAGGTCTAAGAGGTAACTGAGCAATGGCCGTGCCACCCAAACAGGCAGCAACAGCAAGGACGTCACAATCTGACACAGCATACTTCCCGCTGCAGACATGTAGATCACATCTGCCACAAACAAGCACAGGCAAAATTAGCAGGTCCATTGGCATTTAGATAATGAGTTTAGCTTAAATGCGAGTGTACATTGATATACCTCGTAGCTTCTCACGCACGCTGCCATTTCCAGAGCTTTCTCTCAGAAGAGTTGCGGAGCGATTATAGATATCTGTGGCATGAGGCAATAATAACTGCAGGTGTTTGTAGAAGAGGGCCACACTACTGGAGCCCTGAAAAACACAGATCAACATGTGGAAGGAAATCAGCCCACTCAGACCCAATAAACACATGATTTTTCCAAGAATGAAATTTGTGTGTGGATATGTATGTGTATTTGGTTGTGCATGTACCTCTGTAACACAGCTGATATGGCAATAGGCCAGTAGCTGCTTCTGTAAAGAGCAGAGCAGTTCATGGAGGTGAGCTGGTTGGCTGCTATCAGACGAAGACGTTCCCTGCAAGATCTTATCACTGTTCTTCTCCAGTTCTCCAAAAGCTTGGTCCTGTTAGGTTAACACACATACACACAGGAAAACAGGTTGAGAAGACATTCAGAAGTGTATATCAGATGTAGCATTCCTACTGTAAGTGTAATACACAGATACTATATGGTACCCATATCCAATTTATCATCTCAAAACAGTTTACATTCATTTAAAGAGCTTTAATGAAACCTCACCGAATATAACATATTTTGCATGCCCTTGCTCTCAAAAATATCATAAGGGATTGACATGCACCACAGCAAATCAAATAATAATTAACCCGAATATACACAGTATACATATACAATATATGTATGGAAAAAATAATGGCAAAAAACATTTATTTCTTTTGAGTTGTCTTTGTAGGTTGCATGCAGAAACAGGCAAGCGTATTGACTCACAAAAAAAGGTTTCAAAAACAAGAGTCACTGGTATGAATCAATCTGATGAATTCTTTACTCTACCAACTGATTTGATTCCATGAAAGTGGTCACTGAATCAACATCTGAGTCAGTTACTAAACTGCACATTATAATTACTTTTAGTGATGACAGTCTCGAAGTGAAGCAAGCATTTTGCTGGCAACACGATAATTTAACATCAGCGTGTAAATCGAGATAAAAAATATAAAACCAAGCTCGCTGTCAGCGCAAACACGACCTCAAGATCTTTATCAGCAGAACTGACCGTATAAAAGCCCAGGTTCCTGAGTAGAGTTTTCATGAGGATCTCTGCCAAGTGTGTGTCAGGATGTGTATCAGAATAAGTGCCAGGCACATGCGTAGAGTCGGAGGGTAGAGTGGGAGGCTCAGAGGAATCTGCAGGACTGCTGTACCCCAGCAGAGATGCCACATGGGTGTGATCCTGCAGACTAGTGAGGATTATGTCCAGCTGCATCCTCTGTGACAGAAAAAACACACATATGACTGACAGATGCTTTTGTAAGTTAACTTAAATTGTATATTCTTTACAAGCAGGCACAAACTCGTACCTGTCCTTTAGAGAGGCTCTCCCAGCGGTCTGGTCCTTGAGGAAGGAGTGAGTGCAGTAGCTCCATTCTCTCTCTCAGAGGAGGCAGCAGCATCGTTGCTCCCACGGACAGAGTCTCGATGACAGCCTACAAAATGCAAACACTGATCAGAGAAAAATACAGGCCACAGTAAACCATCCCAGCAACAAATATGTGGAAAAACACAAGCAAACACAGACCTCCTGGATTTCATCCGGTACTGACGCATCCATCAGTCTGAAAAGCAGATTGCGAAGTGGCCGCGCTTGCCATCCCAAGATGCTGGTGGCCACGCCACCCGCCAGCGCTAGAGCCAGGTGATTGGACAAGAGCCGTAGACATAGTTTCAAGAAGTTATGATGCTCCCTGTTGGCCCAAAAACAAATGTATTCCCTCCATAGTGCAAGAATACACACACTTACTATTTAATTCCTTTAGGATGGGTTAGAAAATAGAAACTTGATCTCAAACAAACAACATTAGCAGCAGCTTTAATTCTCCAGTGATATTTAATGCATTTAAAAAACAAGGCAGGCTTCACTCGTCTATAGACCTTAGTCAGGTTAGACAACATATTGAATTTTACACAGATGAAAATGAGGCTGTAAAGGAGATATTTACTGCAATTACAATGGCACAGACTGTATAAAGTGAATTTCACAGCTCTCAACTTTCAAAACTGTTTTAAAGAGTTTTGTCAACTTTTTTTTTGTTTTTCAGAATGCCAACAGTACAATCCATTCAATGCACTATGCTTCTATTTCTCACAGCCTCATTTTCACTCCTGTCAAAAATTAAATATGGTGCTATCCTGAGTAAAGTCAATGGTGGTGGCAGAACACATACTTGGAAGATGGGAAAGGTAGTGGTGGGATCTCGTTGTTGATACCGTCACAGTATCGTTCCAGAAATGAGCGCAGGTGAGAGAAGGTGCTTTCTTCTAGGTCCACACAGTATGGCCTATGCCAGGCTACCACCTGCCTGTATACACACACATAAGATTAATAGCTTAGATACGGAAATGTCGAAAAACTCATTATAAGAAAGAAGAAAAAACAGAACAAGACAAAGAAAAAAAAAAACTTCTTGCCATAGGAATCAACAAACTTAACGGCACAAATGCATATTAAATATATTGTGTATTTATTTGCAACGTAAAGATCATAAAATGGTTCAACAGACTTGCTAACCTGTCTCTTGGGAGGGCAGTCCATGCCAGGCTGTGGGAGGTGCCAGCAGAGATCTGCTGAATGGCCACTCCATCTAAACCAATCACCTTCTTGGGTTTGGTGATTGGGCCAGTGGAATTCCCTTGACCACACTGACCCATGGAGTTATTCCCCCAGGCATACACTTCATTGTCTGTAACAAAACATCCACACAGAAAAAAAAGAAACTTAAATAAATAAATAATTTTACGAGTCACATTTCAGCTTTATGCATTTTGAAAATCAGATGTGTGAGACTAGCACGGCCATTTCGCAATGCACGTGAACAGCACATGTTCAGTTTAAGTACACAGCGTCAAATTGTCTGTGACATCATGTGTGAGGCCCCCTTGCTTCACCTTATCTGAGTCTGACTCAGCACATACCCTTCTGCTACTAATCTGACCCCCTTCTCTCTCTCTCTCTCTCTCTCTCTCTCCACTATTACAAACTACAGTTCACACAACCCTTACAGTACAGCCCCAAGAAGACTCACAAACCAACAGCACCTAATCACCAGCCATTGTTTATGGAGTTTACAATATAATTCTATAATGCTTTATGCAATACACTGAAAGTGAAAATATTAAAGTGAGAATCACAAAACTAACTGCACTGTATAGACCTTAGTCAGGTTAGGTGTCATAATGAATATAACACAGATGACAATGAAGCTGTGAGGGAGAGACTTAGTCTTTACATTGGCATTCACTGTACAAAGGTCTTAGATCATGTCATTTTCACAATTTTTTAAAACTGTTTTATGAAATTTTTGTCTACTGAAGGTTTTTTATGAAAGCCATTTTGCCAGATGAACAATTGGTATGCTGTTAAACAATAGCACAATCTATTGAAAGCACTGTACTTCCATCCCAAACAGCCTCATTTTAATTTAATTTTCATGTTGTTGCACTACCAACCACTTAAGCATACCAGATAGACCCATAGATTTGTGTCCTCAATTCAGTGGTTTGCAGTGATCCCTTACCATGTGATAAAGCAAGGCAGTGGCTGTCTCCTATGGAGATGTCTACCACTCTGGTTGTGGCAAGTTCCTCAATCAATTTTGGCCTTAGCGCAGTGGCCTCCGATGAACCACAGCCAAGACAAGCACCACAGCCCCAAGCGTAAACCTGCACAATGAATACATAGATAACAGTGTGTTTATAATGAATATACACACCACACTGAGACATTAGAATCAACATGAACTCATAATTGCCCTTATTTTTGTAATCTATCATCAAAACATAATAAATAGTGACTTAGCAATGTCTCATACCTGACCAGTAGAGGTGAGGGCAAGAGATGACTGGCTGCCAGCACAAACTTTGCGTATGAACATTCCCTGGAGCGCCTCCACCACTTTGGGTTTGTACACACGATTGGTATCACCATGACCCAGTTTCCCTGCAGATAAACAACAGTGAAGGTGTAATAGTCTTCCATTAATCTTTATTATCACATATACACAGCAATTTCAAACAATAATTACTAGATGGTACAAAGTAGAGAAGATAACTCAAGCACATCTAGATGCAGCTGCTGGCAAAGTGTATAGTGCGTGCCTGACATCACAAATACAGTAGGACCCTTTCAAAAGTCTCTTCAGAAGAACAAGTGACGTAGGTTAACTTAACTCACCATTGTCTCCACCTCCAAAGGACCAGACCGTACGTCCATCTTTAGACAGCGCAATGGTGTGGGAGCTTCCACAGGACACCTCACCCACATTACTGATGTCTTTCACTAGCGTGGGAATGTTCCTACTGTTACTGTCGCCATGACCTACAAGTGTAGACAAACAAAATCAATGATACATAAATACAAATGTCAACACAACATGAAGTAAGATAAAATGTTATGTGCATTAGTTAACAAACATATGTATTTTTATCACAACAACAAAGTTTTAGCATGTTGATGGATATGACAATGTTAATGTAAATGGTCCTGGCACTCTAGGTCTTCTACGCTCACTGCTGGAGCAGAACAAGTATGGACTTGCTCTTTCCAATCTGTTGACATACTGCTGTGAGCATATAAGATATGCTGCTGCATAAATACGCATACAAATTCCCTTAGCAGATCTAGACAGGAGGAGCTGGGGGAGGTGGAGGGTTTTTATAGGATCTCTGATAGCACGCTGCAGAACCAGCTTACAGTGAACACTGATCCAGACTATTTCAAGCAAGCTAATTGGCTGCCAGCTTGAGGTCAATCAATTTGTGCCACGAAATAAATGATGTGATTGCTAAAGATGTATTTAGACATATAAAACATATTTTTCTGCATTTATTTGATAAAAAATGCAGTAAAAGGAATAATATTGTAATATTTTATTACTATCTAAAATAACCGTTTAGTATTTTAAAATATTTTAAAATGTATTTTATTCCTGTGATGGCAAAGCTGAATTTTCAGCAGCCATTAATTTTTTTTAATGAATGTGTGCAATAAATATAATATATAGACAATTATATACCTAATCTACCAAAGTCACCCTCTCCCCAGGTGTAGAGCTCTCCATCCTCACTGACTGCAGCGCTGTGTCTATACCCTGCTGAAACACAAACCACCACCTACAAGCAAACACACAAGCAGCAGAAGACATTAATCATTTAAAAACACAGGTACATTCTGAGAGTTCAAAAAGATTAAGTGATGCATAACTACTGCATGAATTTAGTACCTTTCCTTGTAGAGGGCCCTGTATTAGTTTGGGGTATTTCTGGGTAGAGCTGTTGCCATGACCCAGTTTGCCATAGTCTCCATCACCCCAGCTGAACACCTCTCCCTCGCTAGTGAAGGCTAATGTGTGGCCGTCTGAGCCTTTGGATGATGAAACTTTCTTAATGGCACGGTGAGGTTCAAAGGTCAGCTTCTTAAGAGTGGACTGGTTGTTTGAGTCACCCAGTCCCAGGCGCCCATAGCTGCCCTTCCCACACGCTCGGACTGAACCATCAGAGGAGATGACAAATGTGCAGTACTGGCCAGCTTCAATCTGAAGACACGAGATGTGGTCAGCAAGTATTCACTGTGAGCATAAAGGAGGATGCTAACACTGACACTGTATGAATAATTCATATGAAATTGCTTTCTACCGTTTGTGCATCACTGAAGCTGGGAGCGAGTTTGGGCTGGAGGATTTTCTCTTGAGTGCCCTCTACAAGCTGGTGGCTGCTGTTGCTGCCCCACACATAGACCTCACAGGTCTCAGATACCATGGCTGCCTCACCTGCCAGGATACTGTCTGGACTCGCACAAGTTCTTGAGTAGTCTGAAGCCATGCGACACACCTATCAGGAAATTGATTTAAAATGAAGTTAAAGTTTCAAACACATGGCCCAATTCTAGCCCACAAGATGATTTGATAAATAATCAAATTGGTATGATACATATTCTTAATTATCTATTTTAGATACAGCAGGACTGATTTGTTGTGCAGCGTGTTATAGCATGCATCTTAAAGCAGCTTCTCTTCTCTTCTAATTTTGGCAGTTAAAACTGGATTTACTGGATGACAAGCATCGGAGGACGCTCACAGAACTAATGAAACCAAGAACAAGTACAAGGAAAATATACACTGCAAGCAAATCTCTTAATGGTTTCAAGTCTGTACTGATACGCATTCATATATTATGACTGAAAAAGTAAATAAGAAAGAGTTTGACTGAAAAGCAGGTCTATAATCAAAATTATGTTTGGCTGCAAATTGCCTATTACAGCTAAAGTGGTCCTGCCAAGAGCAGTGAGTGGTTTGTCTTTATTTGATTTATTAATAAACCGCTTCTGTATATGTAAACGAAAGGACTCTGAAATTGTATCTATTAAACTGTATGTGCTTACTTTGGTTTTACCCCAATATTGGTTAGTTAAGCATCATAACTTTTCTTATGTACTGTTTTAGGTGCAGGAGCATGTTGTGCATGCTCTTTTCATAGATGCACCAAGATTTAATAAGTAAAAATAATTATCCTGCTTAAGGTGATGTTTAGTCCAATCTGAAAAAGAGTTTGGCCTTGGGGGGTATCATCATAAGAATCTGAAAGCAGTACTATTTAAGAAAGGGCAAAGTTAGCTGCACAGCATGTCAACATAATCCCACGAACCCCCAACTACATAAAAATGTGGCTTAACTGATTTACATTTATTTTGGTCCAGAGTTACATGTATTGTAATGGTAATACATTGAGGATTGGCAACAGCTGCCTACCTTTAAAAGATAAGAGACTAAACAGAAAATAACAAAGACTCTTTTATGCTGGCAAATTACATCACCAAATATTACAACTATTTCACTCTATTCTAGGTCATAAACAATTGGTCAATTGGACTCCTGAGAACTCAAAAGAACTGAATGCGTAAAATCCTTATGAAAGACGTCCTACATTTGAAACAAAACTAAGGTGATAACATTTAAATAGTTCTGTTTTCTTAACTCAATAAAGCCTACTGTATCATATTTGATACATACAATTTTAAGGCCTCTATCAACACGATCAAAACTCTGATGAAAAACCTTTTGTCAGTCTACTACATGCCTTCTGTCTGACTAATAGTTTATACTTTTTTTAGCAAGTTAAAGGTCTTTTAGTGTCATTCTAAAAAAATTTTTTTTGATGTAAAATCTTTACTATTTTTTATGAGATAAAGAATAAAATGTATATTGTTAGTACTATTTGAATATGAACGGTTACTGGACTGAAGAAATTTAAGATATTTAAGATAATCTATACCAAATCCATAAATCATCTTAAAATCGATCAAATATAATGCGGCTTATGCGGAATGTTTATTTGTACAACTCTCAATCATCGTTCTGCATGATATACTTCAGATAAACATCACAAACAGCACCAAATTGCATATTTATTGCACAGTTTGGGCCTCTGAATAAAAGTCTGAGCTCCATATTCTCCTATCTCACACTATAAGAGCCACAAAAGCCTGATTTATCAGATATGATACTCAAAAAACTATACAATTGTTTTTAGATTTTTAAAAAATATTTTATCTAAATAAATTTAAAAAATGTTGGCGATTATTTATCATATCAGATTTTAACAAATGTCTGACTTTACATGGTTATAAACAGTATCAAAGTACCACACATTGTGATAACAGTTTTTCATTGGGTGATTCATGTGCAAAATGACATGGCCCTCTCTTGTCCATAGAACAAATTTACATGAATATATTTATATTTGTATTTTACCTCCTCAAACAGACAAAGTGCAGCCTCGTATAGGGAACAGAGACCATCAGGTGTGCGGGTCGGCTCTCTCCATTGGCTACGATCAGCAGACGAACCCTACAACACCAGACATTCTGTCATTTAACAACATCCAACACTATGTAAAACAAATTGCGAGTGTTGTAGTGAGCATGTACCAGTGAACGCCTCATCTGCATCAGAATGTTCATGAAGCAGTCGTATCCCATCAGCCCCTCCTGGCTCTGCTCCAGGTTGCTGACACCGGCCGATGCAGCCAGGGCCATCTCAACCCACTCCAGCAGGTAGCGCAGGGACCCTCGTTGCGCTGCCAATCCCAGCAGCAGCTCACACGCCAGCCTCCTCCCCACCACATCGGCCCCCGAGTTGCGCATGGTGACTCCTTTCAGGAACGTGGTGACCTGGGCCAGGCAGTCCAAACCCATTGGTGGAATCTTGCTTTCATTGGCCAAGGAGAGCGGCGGAAGGGAGCCCACCACTTCGATGGCTGTGGTGATGACATCATTGCAGAGGTTGATCCCTGGACCGGCTGGAGGAAGCGTCCAGCTCTGCCTGAGCAAAGCAAAGAGCAAACTAAGACCCGTTCGCACGCCCATCTCAATGAGGGCGTCTGTACTAGAGCGCGGCCGCTCGCTAACTGCTTGCAAGTCCGCAGAACCCAGAGTGTTTTCGGTCGAGTGCTGCTGCTGTTTGACCTTGCCCTTGTCATGGTATTTGTTGGAGAGTGCATAAAAAACCCGCTGCAGCACTAGCAGACGTTTGCGTAGGGCAGTGGCAAAGGGTGAATCTGAGCACACCGTCTTGGCCAGAGCAAGCTGACTGGCCAGCAGCGCATCAAGATAATGCTCCTGTTCATCACTGGACAGACACTCTCGCTCAAAGTCCGGCAGCTGAGGGCCCTTCAGACATAGGACCTGCTGAGGGAGAAGAACCACCTCCTTATTGGCCAGCATCTTGCCATACAGCAGAGCGACGCCTTCACGGGTGGAGATGGACTCGCTGTCCTCAGCGATCCAGGAGCTGTTGAGGTGCTCCAACCATTTTAGTTTTACTGGTGGTATCATCGCAGCCATGGTGCCACCTTACAAGCTCACCGTCACATCTGAGAGATAAAGAGGTACAGTGAATCTAGGGATGCAGCAATATTAATATTTGATAAAGATGGGTCAATTATGTTAATAAATGGTCAATATAAACATTCTATACTACTTGTAGAGACAAAGGTAATCTAAATACTAAAAAAATAGGGAGAATGGGCACACACAAATAACTTATTATTTTGATATTAATCTATATTATTATATGATATTATTGACAGGTAATTATTACACTACTGTTCAAAAGTTTGGGGTCAGTATGTTCTTTTTAAGAAATCAATATTTTTATTCAGCAAGGATGCATTAGATTGACAAAAAAAATAACAGAAGACATATATAATGTTACAAAATATTTTATTTAAATTAAATGCTTCTCTTCTGAACTTTGGGGGGGGGGGGGGGTTAAAATATGTTAACATATACAACTAATTAAAATTGTAATAATATTTTATTCACAATATGACTTTTTATTATTTTTTGATCAAATAAATGCAGCATAAGAGACATCCTCTAAAACGCAGTAAAAATCTTACTGACAAACTTTTGAATAGCAGGGTACATAAAATATGGATTGATACAGATAAATTTAATAAACAAAATCTCTATTATCAGTCAATAACCAATATGGCTCTGATAGATCATGCATCCCAAAGTGAATCAATTTAAACTGTCTCACACACATTAGCAGAGAAACCACTATTCCTCACTAAGCAACTAAGCATTCTGATGTAACCATAACCAGAAAAAACACAAGGTGATGATGAAATATGCATTCATCCTAAAAAGAGTTTGATTCTGAGAAATGAACTTCAGTACTGACCTATCTAGAAAGATCATCAAGTGCAGATGAGGTTGTGATGACACATACTTGACATCTTGCCAATCCACTTATCAAAGCCTGGAATCCGTTCAGCAAAATGACAGCCTTTGGGTACTCAGCCCAAACACGCATGCATAAATGTAGGTCTTGAGTCATCCCATTGACTATTAACTTATTTATCTAGACAGTTAACTTTCATAAGCAGGCCAACGTTAGACTTTTGTGGGTATGATTTTCTTCTTAAACTATTGTCTGTTGAATTTGATCATAAACCTGTGCAAAAGAAATAGACATATCTTATCTAATCTAATCCAATACATGGTTTACGCTTGATAAAATACACAATTTCAGCTTTTAACACTTCAATCTTGTTCAAATCATTTCCTAAGCCTATGATAACATGAAATATATCCTATAATACTAAAGAACATGTTGCCAGTAGCTAAAATATTACTTATGTGAGAGAGAAAGTATATGGGCAGTATACAGTATAGACAGCATTTTGATTAATGTAAAGGAAACTGGCTGTATATTCCAATCTGAACTACACATCAGCTTATCAGAATGAATAACAACAGGCTAGCAAATTCTTATAGAATGTTATATTACATAATCCAACTTATAAAGTTACAGGTTGTCAGCTAATACATTGTTACAGCAGCAAATTAGGTTATTATTTAACCATTCCTCTGCTCTAGACATTATCATATCTTGCTAACAAGCACTTTAACTGTCTGTAAATTAAGGTGATTTTTCCACCCAGCTGTTTGCGTTGCAATGATTACGGTGTTGGTTATGACAATCTTGCGGTTTGATTATTCATTCAGCTGGCTAACCCATCGCATCACACTGCTCGCATAACCAGTGTTACTTAAAATACGTTACCCACAAATATCTGACTGCCTATATCTTTATACGAGACCTGCAGCATATTTGTTAAAGATATTTAAAAGATATGTCTTACGGCGTTCACGTCTGCAAGTGAAGCGGAATTTATAGGCGTTAGCTTGTTAGCATAGCTAACAGAACAGTATACGCCAGCAAGCTAAGCTAATCCACTACACTGAAATTATTCACTAACTTTACGCCTTATGTTGTGTGCCTAGACTGAACTATCACATTAAACGAGCCTCAAATAAAATACTTAACTGTCTTGTGAGTGTGTGACTATATAGCACGGGAAGCTTGTCGCATTAGCCCGGCTGTGGAGCTGCTTGTCTATGGTTGCCAGGCTATGATCAACTCCCCTCCGCCACTCACTTTACATGAGTCGGCTCAGCTGCTGATATTTCACATTAAAATCATGCACCCAAACAAACATCTGCCCAATGTACGAGTCAAACATTTGACACATAGGCTGTTACAATCACTGAAATGCAAGTTCAGAAGACTACACATAATGTCACGTTTGAAATAGCTGGAACCTGTCGGCTGCTGTGGTAATAAAGGACTGAAAAGGTGAGGCTGGAGCTTACCATAAACTGCCAAAGGCCTATTCAATGCATGAACGAAAGTGGCTTTCATGGTGATTAATGTTCCCTCGGCACCAGCATGTGACAGTGCATGACAGAATAGGCTCGTAATCGCTGGGTTGAGGATCTGGTAAGGCTGAATAATTGAGAGTTGGGAGTGAGGAGAGCAGTGCTGCTCAATCCCTCACGACTCAGCTGCTGTGAAACAAGCAGCAGGCTCAGCGTTCAGTCCCTCCCTATCATTCATTACCCACTGCACAGAACAACAGCACTCACTGCCCCGAGCGACTATACATATGCAGCCATACATTTATAGAATATTCTGTAATATGATAGAGTAGTTCGTTATTTGAAATGATTTGATGTAGATTCAATAGTATTCTCTTTTTCTCTCACACACAAACACAGCCGATGCAATATTCTCACTGTTATAATGTATTTATTATTATATGCTATAGTATATTATTTATACACCATTATTGTATTTATTAGTATTTTGATTAAGGTTTTTAAATCTCTATATTTTCAGTTCATGTTTTGCCATTTTTATAATATCTCAGTATTTATTTAAGTTTAGTTTTAGTGATTTATTTACTTGATTAGTGACTTGATTTGGTTTGGATTTGGTCACTGTGGCAACTTATGCTGGGAAACTAACCTGGGACCCGGGGCCCGTTCTTTGTACGTCACTAACTCAGTTAGTTTGGTTCTTCGCAGCCCCTGGATCGAATTAGTGAGATTGCGTGATCTTAAATCGTCGTTTATGAAACCGCTTTAGTCCCGATTGATTTCTTAGGTTATTTCAAGTCAGGTTTTGGACTTTAATTCCCACTTTTCTTATTGATTAAGCTTAATTATCTTATTTTAATGGCTTTCTTTGGTCTCATAACCACATTATCCCATCTTTTATGAAACAGCCCCCACTAGGCCTATACCATGCCATTCTTTGTGCACTGTTAAATGTTTAATAAACATTATAAAAAACAATTTCCTTTTCAGCTATTTAACACGTCACTATAATCCTCAAGTGGATTTAATCTTAAAAATATAATTAAATAAGCAATTACGTTAAAATTTTTAGTGGGAGAACTTGTTAACTACAGAGTGAATAAAAAAAAATAATGGTTTAAAGAAGGCCGACTTAATCTGTCCTACACACATACAGATAAACATTCTCCAGAACTATCTCAGCACACACAGCAGCACACGTTCACGCACGCCGAGTCTAATAAAAGATGGGATAATGTGGTTATGAGACCAAAGAAAGCCATTCAAATAAGATAATTAAGCTTAATCAATAAGAATGAATTACTGTGAGGCTTAAATTGACAGAAGAGTCCATGATTAGCACATGCGCACAGGTTGCTCAAGACCTGAAAATTGTTTCCTAAATTGCAGTAAACATTGGATCTTCCCTGACCTGTCCAACCTTTATAAGGGACAGTAGCCAAACACCAGTGATTCACTGCCCTCAAGAGTTATTACCCAACAACAGTGTACTTCTTATGGATTACTGTGCATGACTGTGGGTCCAAGTGTAAATAAGAGGTGATCGCTGCCCCCTGTAGGACTAAAAGCATAATGCAAAAGCAAGTTTTTTCCGGACTGATTTCTGGTATGCTATATTGAATTGGAAAACAAGCCTTGTCACAGTAGAATTCCTTGTGTAGACATCTGGGGACACTGTACTTTTTATTTTATTTTTTTTACTTTGTATACGTATTCCCTTGGAGCTGAAAAATGACAAACTTGCCTCCTAGGGTTCTGCCTTTTCTGCTGAAACCACACACAAATCATCAGTAAGAGGGCTAACAGCTGCAGCACATGAATGAAAAGCTCTGTGTTGCTCAGGAGAGAAAAACAAGTCAAATCGGCATGACAGTGTCGCTTAAGGATCCTGGTCAGTTGTTCAGCTTTACAGATGAACTTGTACAACCTGGTTTTGTGCCCTTTTTCTATGACAGCATGCAATGACAGATACACTGGGGGAAACCTCACATCAAATGTTGCAAAAACACTTTCTGTCAAGAGACATAGATAATAAGGAAACACTATGTGTAGCCAACAACATGCATGCATTTGAATTTATAAGAGTGCAGCAGTTAGACCTTAAAAGAATGCTTTGAAGAAAGGAATGTCTTTAAAGCATGAAAGAATGAATGCAATGTAACATGAATACACTAAAAATGACAATGCATATAAAATACCTTAAGAGATACAACAATTATCACAAGATAAATACAATAATGCTAAAGCTTAAATGTATTACTCACCAGTAATATGCTGAATCTAGCTCATAGTTATGGAATAACCTCCTTAAGGGTTCACAGCTTCTCCTACAGTTCACTGAGAATCAACATACCTTTCCAGCAGTCCAAATAGTGTAGTCAATTGTTTAAAAGAGTTTACACTCTGATAGGTCCATGATACATGCTGGAAGGGGCATCATCCTACTAAGCATAGCAACTTGCGTCATGGAGACATAACAATCAGCCCTTCTGTACTTATTAAATACGACATAAACACACATTCCAAATAAACACACATTGCTCTAAAGCACTACAGCAATGGAAAAAAAAGATAAAAAAATGAATCTGAAACTGTGGCATATTTAATAAATTAACAGGGTTTAATCAAATAAGCTTGGTTCACTTGCCATTTCAACTTAATCTGATCTGGTACACAGATAACCAAAGCTGGACAACATGTTCTGTGTAAACACTGCCTGAACAAATTACAGCTGTTCACGTAACATCAATCAAGGAAGGATCATGACTTTAAAAACACCTAATACATAATAATAATCAAAACATAACATCTTGTTTTTCAATAAAGGAAGCATCATGATTTTAAATACACCTAATACATAATAATAAATCAAAACATAACATCTTGTTTTGTGATTTTACAACTTAAAATGATCAGATCTGTTTTATATTGATAGACCAAAGAGAAAAGGACAAAATAGAAGAAAAAATAAACTGTAGCACCATTTAATTTTTTTCTTTACCTAACAGTAGTAATCTTAAAGTATATATATATATATAGGGTCAGTATGTCTAATGGAGGTTGCTTGACCAATTTTAATTTTCCTCATTTTGTTTACCTCTATGTACTGGTATTGCAAAACTTGGTTTATCTACAGCGTCGGGTCTTTGTGTCAAGGGTCACAACAAATTAAACAAACGTTTATGGAAACCTCGAAACTTCATTACCTTGGCTCAGGATAGTCCTATAGCTCCTTGGAATAAAAAAAATAACATCCAGTGCACTTTTTAAAATGAAAACAAAAATAAAAAACTGGTGGTTTTGCAAAACCAAAACATAGAGGTAATCGCTCAAAAAAAAATTTTTTTAAATAGGAAGATTAAATTGGTCAAGCAACCAACTTTACACTTGAGATGGATTGACCCTATTAATATATTAAAAAAACATTAACTAATTTAACCTGTTAATCATAAATAATAAACTCATAAACAATTGTGTAACATATGCTTCATGTATATAGCTCTCTCTGACTGACCATACCTGCTTTTATTCAGGTCTATATTCCCCAGCGTAGTCTCTTCAGCACATTTATCTGGCCTGTGTTTATATAACGATGTGTGATCAGTGGGAGGGGGGTTATTAATGTGTCATCTCTGCTGGTCCAGATTGCTGCCTGTCAGCAGGTCTCCTCCACAGGATCTATTCAGCAACTCTTTCAGTGCTTCATTGACATCTGTATTAAACATGCTGCTAAAGCTACAGTTTGGGAAGGTGACCTGGAAAGAACTCACCACTTCCTGTACCCACTGCAGCTCGGAACACAGTTTTTTTTAAATAGGAAGATTAAATTGGTCAAGCAACCAACTTTACACTTGAGATGGATTGACCCTATTAATATATTAAAAAACATTAACTAATTTAACCTGTTAATCATAAATAATAAACTCATAAACAATTGTGTAACATATGCTTCATGTATATAGCTCTCTCTGACTGACCATACCTGCTTTTATTCAGGTCTATATTCCCCAGCGTAGTCTCTTCAGCACATTTATCTGGCCTGTGTTTATATAACGATGTGTGATCAGTGGGAGGGGGGTTATTAATGTGTCATCTCTGCTGGTCCAGATTGCTGCCTGTCAGCAGGTCTCCTCCACAGGATCTATTCAGCAACTCTTTCAGTGCTTCATTGACATCTGTATTAAACATGCTGCTAAAGCTACAGTTTGGGAAGGTGACCTGGAAAGAACTCACCACTTCCTGTACCCACTGCAGCTCGGAACACAGCTCCTTTTGCAAGGCCTCGTAACGAGTCTGCCTCTCCTTATATCGCTCGCTCACTCGGCTAACACTGGCATCCACACTTCTCATGTCTTCGTGAACACCCCTCCTCTGGGCCTTGACTTTACGAAACTCATAACGGAGCTGGGACAACTCATGTCTGATGCTTTCGCTTTCTTCTTTGTACCACATCTCCTTCTCATTGTAGATGGACACTAGTGCATCAATGTCTTCCTGCAGGGAGTCGTGGGCTGACGCCAGCTGGCAGAAAGTGCCTTCCATGGCCGACACGTCCTCCTCCACCTGTGCGAAGCGTTCAAAGTTGATGTAGGTGTTGTTAGGAGGCATACTGGAGTGGGACTTGATGGTGTACTCTTTGAGACGCTTCGTCTTCAACTGCCTACGCTCTCTCTTCCTCTCTGGTGCTTTGCTGCGTTCCTCTTTATGCTCGTTAAACTGCCAACAGACAATGGGGTTAAGACTGAGAGTGATATTTAAGGACAGAGTGAGAGAAAGTGAAAAAATGAATGCCTATAAATGACTTTCAGGCCCACAATCACAAGCTCATAACATACCTTAATCCAGGGGTGGTTCAAGGCATCTTGAATTGTGAGTCTCTTTCTGAAACACATGATTAAGATGGTAATTTATGCCATATTACTTGCAACAAGCACCATATTCTGTTTTGTCACAAACACAAAGCTCACACTCAAACACAAATGGCGTTAGATGATCTCAGCCCTCTGCACTTACTTGGTGTCCTTTTCCAGCAGTTGTCGTATAAAATTCTTGGCAAGCTCACTGGTGTGGCCAAAGAATTCATCATCAAACTCATAGTTCATGGCTGAGATGTTTCCCAGAGTGTCTTGCTTCGTTTCTCCTAGGAAAGGAGATGCCCCACTCAACCTACATTTGGAAAGCGTATTA